CTCAATGCTGTTCATCGAATTCTGGCTTACTTAAAGGGCTCCATTGGTCAAGGTTTATTATTTTCTTCTTCATCTAAAATCCAATTCATTGCTTTCTCTGATTCGGATTGGGCTTCATGCCCTGATACCCGAAAATCAGTTTCTGGATTTTGTGTCTTCTTGGGTAATTCTTTAATCAGTTGGAAATCCAAGAAGCAACCTACTGTCTCCAGGTCTTCTGCAGAATCTGAATATAGGTCTATGGCACATATTACCTGTGAAATCATTTGGTTATTTTCTTTGCTCAAGGACTTCCACATTGCTCATGCTACTGCTGCTCACCTATTTTGTGACAACAATGTTGCTATTCACATTGCTGCCAACCATGTGTTTCATGAACGCACTAAGCACATCGAAATTGACTGCCACATTGTCAGACATCAGATCATTAAAGGCTGCCTTCAAACTTTTCCCATTGTCTCTGCCCATCAGTTGGCTGATATTCTTACCAAGGCTCTTCATCCTACACAATTTTCTGCTCTTCTTTCCAAGATGGGAGTCCACAATTTGCTCACTCCATCTTGAGGGGGAGTATTAGAATATAGTTTTATTTAATTTGTTGCTGTTTGTTCTGATTTTGTTACAGCTTTAATATTCCTTTCTGTTAGTAACATTTCTGTTAGTGACACATGGTCCACATAAGGGACCCACACTCACACCTCACGTTTAGACCATTCGGTTATTCTTTCTTTCATTGTATCTGATATATATAGAGAGATACATGCTTTGTACAAATCACTGAGATAATGAAAATCATTTTTCTTTATTTCCTCATGTTAATATTAAGATATGAATCCAGTCCATGAACCCAAAATAAAAAATGTAAAAATTAGTGCTTAATAGGACAGAATTATAGACACACATCTCTTTCACTACCCTAACACTAAATCCTTGCAATTAGTTAATGGAATTGTTGACAAAACAATTCCTTTAACTGATAAAAACAAAAACAATACGAATGGAATCAGAAAATCATTTTAGGAAGCAAAACAACGGAAAGTCTGGTACAAGTCATAGGGACCAAACAACCACCGTTAAAGAACAGTGTTGAATCAACTACTATTAAAACCGGATTGGACCTGTTTAATTGGATAGTGGACCACAAATTTATCCAGTCCAGTTTATAAAGAATTAATGCAACATTAACCATCAAGCGATAATTATATATTTATTATAATGCTTTAATTAGTATATTTATTACATAATTCTATACATGAAAGTGAGGTTTCTGGCACAAGTCAATATGAAATTTATGGCTGAGGAATGATAATCAAAAGAATCATCAATATGCGAATATATTGAATGCGATGATAAAATATATTAAGTGCAATGCTCCATAGGGGAACTTGCAACACCGATGGTCAAAAGGTATCAATCAACAATTATTGCCGGGAATTCTTAAACCTAAAATAATCTTCTCCATTAATCAGCAAAAACCAAAACCATATTTACATTAACACCGTGGATCAATCAGAGTTAGCCCAAGCAAAATAAACTTCAGGCTTTTAGTGCTTGTACTGCATACTACTTTACGTTTAGTAGGGTTTTTAATTGCAATGACAATCAATTTCTACCAAGCTGGGATAATTTAACCGTAATCTATTATATTTTTTTTCCCAATTCAATATTAAACATCACTGAGTCGTATTTGATAAAGTTCATGTAAGTTTTTATTTTAATTACATGGATTAATTTAAGTGATAAATAAATTGAAAAATATTTTTAATCAATTTTTTGATTGAGAATTATTATCAGATTCAAATAATATTATGATAAATATCGTAGAAACAAATTAACCTAAACATATTATTGGATTATGTTACAAGAACCACATTTCCATAAAAAAAAACTGTTACACAATGCATCACGAGAGTTAATTAATTCACCCCTCAAACTCAAATTTCTTTGTTTTTAATATTGGAAATGCAATACTGACGGATCGAATGAGATATTTACACGATGATAATTAAGAGAATATATATCAAAAGATATGTACTTGAAAGGCTTAACCCATTATTTAATCGATGGAGTTATATATAGGTGAAAAATCTTAGTGAGAGTAAAATTTGTTCGAAAATAGGATAATTAATCCTATCTTTTATCTCTTAAGTTACGCTTGCCACTTATAATTAATCGGTTGTTTATAGAAATTGTGAGATTTGGGGTCCAGGAATAGAATTATATTTTACATTCAATTATCATGCGTGTGATAATGGAAAAAAAGTTTAAATTTATGCCGCATTTGTTTTTTCATTCTAAAAATATACAAAAAGAAAAAAGACTTGCCAAATACATTAAGGCTTGTAATTTACGATTAACTTTATGTGAAAAATATTTCTGTAGTTAATGCAGATAAGTTATCTGCATTTATTCCCAAAATGACGTCGTTTTGGTATTGAAATTTTAAAAAATTATAAATATAAAGACTATTATAACCCTGAAATAAATTAAAATTATAAAAACACCATGATTTTCGCCCAAAACGACGTCGTATTGGGCTTACTGCAGATAACTTATCTGCAGTAACTGCAGAAAAAGCGAACCCTAACTTTATTATCTGAAAGAATTAAAATTGATCCCACACATTTCTTTGATTGTATACGTGTTCGCCAGTTGTATATTACTTACATATAGGAGTCAAATTGGGCTGAGTTGAGCTGAGCTTTGTCCCGAAATAGTTAAGCTTATGCTAAAAAAATTTAATTTGACCTGGCTCAATAACATAATATAAGTCTAACTGTTAACCTGGCCTGACCCAATTATATATATATAAAAAAAATGTCCTGACCTAACCCATTGATTTATTATTTTTTAACTTTCAAGCAGAACATGGATCAACTTCACAAAATACTCAAATACTGTTAAAACAAAAACTACAATTTCAATGTTCAAACAAAACTATGAATCACGACAATAACTTATCATAAACTCATTTAAGTCACTTTCAAAAGCAAGATGCCTAAATTAAATAACATATATTTCATTAGATTCAACAAATCAATCCATACAATGTAAATTAAAATAACTGCATGAATTCAACAAATGCATCCTTGTAATAACCAAAAACTTATCAATCTCCTCTCCCTTGCAAATACAATTTCAAAGTTACATAAGTTGGCAAACAATTTGTAAATGTAAAAAACAAAAAATAAGATTAAAGAATAGAAAAATAAAGAAGATTAAAAACAAAAAAACCTTTTTATACCTTTTGTTTTTTCTTCAAGTCATACTTATTACGTAGCGAATCTCCACCATATATTAAAGTTTGTATGATATCTTCCACCAAGTTAGAACGATAAGCATCAATAACTCTTCTTTTAGCACTAAATGTTAATTCTGATGGTAGTGTAGAGATTGGTAAAAATCTTATGTCACTCCCAAAGGTAGGATTGGTGGGGTATCGAACTTAGGTTCTTCCACCACCTACTCATCTCACATATACCAACTGAATTATCACCAGTACTATTATGAATAATATTATTTTATTTAATTTAAAATAAATAATATGATATAGGGAGACATGTAAACTTATAGACCCGGCAAAAGTGTATTTTTAGGATAGGAATTAAAAATCATGGATAAATCTAAGCGACTCTTTCTTAAATCCAAGCGATCTTTTCGTAGGCGTTTGCCCCCGATCCAATCGGGGGATCGAATTGATTATAAAAACATGAGTTTAATTAATCGATTTATTAGTGAACAAGGAAAAATATTATCTAGACGTGTGAATAGATTGACCTTAAAACAACAACGATTAATTACGATTGCTATAAAACAAGCTCGTATTCTTATTTCTTTTATCAAATGCTCAATACCCAAGTAGGCTTTCAAAGTGCATAGTGCTTTCTGGGTGATCTCAAACCTTGCGATTGTTATTACGCCCCCAATAAATCTCAGGCCCGGCATGTGAAAAAAAATTTATGACCTACTTTCTAAATAATTTTTTTAAAAGCTCAGATCTATTTTATTTGACTATACGTAATAAGTTAAATTTGACCTAATATAAGATAGATCATAGACCTCTGTAAACCGACTTAACCCAGTTTCACTCCTCCTTACATGTCACCATCAATAGAAAAGCAATTTGATTTTGATTTGTTGCCTCTATTTTCAATCTAATAAGATAGCTCCAAAATCAGGGCTTTGCCAACTAACGCACCTAATCGTATCTCATCATGCTTATTAGTTTTATTATCCTCCTCGAAATATGCCTCTAATACCCAACATTTTCTTGTTTTATCCATTTTAAACAAGTATCAAATTTCTGACAAAATTTCAACACAATTATAACAAGAAGAGGTTTCCCACATTTTTTTTTTTTTTTTTTTGTATATCAAGGTTTCCCACATTTATAATTAAACTTTTAACAGGGTAAAATGACTCAATCTCATAAGTTTATTCTATTCCATGAATTCATCAAACAAGAGATAAGAATATGATAGGATTAGTTATTCTACTCTATCCTTTTTATTAGCCGATTTATCTGAGTAAAATGTTTCATAATGATTTTTGATTCTGTGTGAGAATAGGCATTTAATTTTATTTATCATATAATTCATTATCACAAAATTTAAGAAACTTATTATAATAAGAAGTCAAACTGTTTTAAAAGTATTCCTATATAAAACATGAATAGTTTTTATGAATTTTGTATGAATAACGTGACACGTTACACCAGAAAGTATAAAAGACAACATTACACCAAATTTTTTTAAAAAAAATATAACTCAATTTATATAGTAATACTTTAGTTGCCCTAAACGGGATATTGCAGCCAGTCAACCACTCAACACTTTGTCTTTTCAAATTTGTCCATTATCAAAATTTTGCCCTAATTTTTTTATTTTATTTTTGAAACAAACATCAATTAAAAAAATATAGATGTGCAAATAAGCTCATGGATTTTGAGGTGAGGGAGGCTCTTCTTGGCACACAAACTCTCTCTCTGTCTCTCTCTAAAATCTCGCTCCATTCCTTGCACTAGCGGAAAAGCATCTGAAATAAACAGAGGCAAAACTTGTTGCCGTTTCATCCAAATTCCACGTCCCTTCGGAACATACATCACTGACTCCGAATTCGTATCTAAAACTTTCTTCATTCCCTCCATTGTACACTCACAATCTCGTCACCAAGGTATCTGATTTTCATACGTTCGGTGATCCCAATCCTTTTTTTTAATCTTTTTTCTTTTCTGCGTAAAAAAATTCATTTTTTTCCTGATGGGCATCTGAATTTCGAAGGTTCAATGTGGATTCTTCGTGATTTATGAATTTTTCAAGTTACTGGGTTGCAAGGACAAGTGTTTAAGTGTGATTTTTTTTTTTTGCACCTTTTCACTCGGAATTTGTTATGTCCTATTGATTATTTGTGTATTTGTGGATGTAACAGGGTGATTTTGTGGATTGATCTCATCTCAGGCTCCAAATCTCCTATGTGATTTTCATCACTGGAAGCTATGTTTTATAATTAACATTAAGATATTTTCTATGGTTTTGAAAGCTTTCATGCTTCAGGGTTTAGTGTAGAAGTTGATTGTATTTATTGAATTACATGGCTTGGGCTAGTTCCAAAGGTTCCCTTGGAATGTCTTCCCATCCAAGGCCTCTTTCTTGGATTGTAGTTTTAGTGGGAGCACTTGCAGTTTTCTTAATTTATGCTTCCTGGGTTCTTGTATCATCTCCAATTGGTGCCACGGTTCATGGATATTTTTATGGTATAGGTAGTTCGCAGAAGTTAGACTTTTCGGTCTCTCCTACTGCTACACATGAAGGTCAGTTGAATAAAAGTTTAGATCTTGTTGATAATCAACCATCCTCTGATCCACAATCTTCCACAATTTCCTCTGATCTCTCTAGTGATAGCAAGATAGAACAAACTGACACTAAATCAAATTCACAAGTAGATATGAGTGAGTCTAATTCAGAGAATTTCCCAATGACCAAGGATGTGAATGGCATAGAAACTTCTGATGGGGCAGTTTCTAATTCACATGAACCCGTGACTTCATTTGGCAACAGTGCAGATGTGGTCAATAGTAGCTTTCCTGCCCAAGCAAATTCACAAAATGATTTGACTTCAAGTGCAACTATGCCAGTGGCAGATATCAATTCTTCCAATGTGACTAGTAATACTAGAACTGAGGAACCCACGTCTGTGGTTTCGATCAATCAGTCCAGTGCTGTAATTACAACATCAAATGAGACCTCTATGTCTTCTGATGATTCCACATCAACAGCAGTTCCTGCATCACTAGAGAAGCCAAATAACACATCCTATGCTGGTTCAGTTAATTCAGGTTGCAATCGAAATCTTTTCACCTGCACTAGCTTATTATCCATGTGTCATATGTGTTTACCATTTTTGTTGTATATCATCAATTATAACATAAAATTATTTTGCTCTTCTTTACTTCACTCTCTTTTGGAAGCACATTGGAGCCATAATGTCAGAATTAGTTTCATGTTATCAATTTTAACTCTTACTGTTGTCATCTAACTTGCAATTGTGGTCTGGTTTATGTAACACCCATTTCATTATCTGTCCAGTTAATTTTTGACAAGAAAATGAGGGACAGATAGATTTAGTCTTTAAGGCATGCATAAATACATTCTGCCTCACACATTAAAGCTGTTTTATAATGGGCTTGGTTAGGGAGAGAGAATTTACTTTTTGGCCAGAAAAATATTTTTGTTGGGGACAATGATATAGCTGTTGTGATATTGCTCTCCATATATTTCTGTGAGTACAGGAACAAGGGCTTCAAATGAGATTCCTTGCTTCCACCGGTTTAGCTTGATTTTAGTATGATTGTCTAGTAACCTCTCTTTGACTTTAGTCTTTGTTTAAATTCTCAATAGGGTTAATTAAGAGAGTTGTGAAAATCATTAGATTTCCTTTGGCTTGGGATAGGGAGCATAAAACTGATCATGTTGTGAGTTGGAACATATGCCACTATGCCCTGAATCATTGAAGGTAGTTTGAATCATAGTATTGTCACGACCTCCCCACAGGGCATTGCGACAAGAGGCAATTGAAATTTATTGAAAATTAAAAGGGAAATAGAGTACCCACCAATTTTATTTAAATGATAAATTTTTTAAAAAACCCTTTTATTTGAAAACTTGACAAAATTGAATAACAGAAACAGAAGAGAATAATATAGAAAAAAATAAAAATTGGGTAAATTCTAGTTCCAGATATAGTATCATTTAGACATCCAATTCATATTCAATTTTGAGTGGTCTGGATAAAATTGGATGTTCACAAGCACTACGGAGCCAACTCTCTAGTATGTTACCATAGTGATGTATGGTTATGATGTTATCTATTAGAACTTTAACACAAGGTGATTATGAGGGCTTGCAGTCAAGTGCTTCAGATGCAAAACGTTGAACTCATGTCACTCAGCAAGCCCACGGAAGTTCATCATTCAGTTCCATCCAACTTTCCCTTTTTGTGGTTCCAAGGTTCAATATTGGGTGGATTTTCATATGCCATTCATTATTTTTGTCCCATTTTTTTTACCTCTAATATGTGCATTATGCTCCCTATAACAATTTCGTTTTCAAAGGATCCAGTGACAATTGGATGAGTCATTTCAATTTGAAGCAATATTTATTATTTAATGGTCTGTTATATAGGTTTTGGTAAAAACAAATAGGTGCAGTTTTGTATCTCGGATTTAACTTGTTATAGGATAGGATTACATTTATGGCTTCTGTTTGGTGTTTTGTTCATGGTTGCTTCAAGGGAGTTGCCAGGTCTACATCTTTAATGAGCACTAACTTCTCCATAAACCCAGGAGTTGTTAATTTGTTTTAGGAAAAACAAAAGGAAGATCTGGTGGGATTTTGGTGTGTTCAGTTGTCTAGTGTGTATGTTTGTTAAATAGAAGAGTTTTTATCAAAACATCAACTCTGGAATAGATTATACTTCTGATGCCATTATGGTGCTAATGCTGTTCTTAACTTGGTTTCTTAGTCTGAAAATCTCATAAACATCATGACAGGAGGAGTATTTGTTTAGCTGTCCACTGTTCCTTGTTTCTTTATTCTGAAGGTGGATATCTTTTTGTCTGTTTTTCAGTTTAATTTTGCTTATTCCAAATTTTTATTAAATTGAATTACTGAATACTGATGTATGGCAAATTACACTAAGTTGATCCACATCATAAAGTACTTGAATGTTAACTCAAGAAATAGAAATTGCTCAGCACATAATTGTTTTGTTAATAGCAACTTCATCTCTGGATTTACTTATATTTTTTTACCACCTGGGCAAATGTGAAAAGTAGAAGGATCTGCATCTCATTGTCAACAACACTGAATTGCTTATTAAGAATTTTACTAGAATTCTCATCATAACGTATACAAACAGAATAAATTGAAATATGAAACAAATTATTGTATGTTAAAAAAGTTGAATGTTCAGCAGTTTAGGTGTATGGGCTACTATAATTTAATTATCTTGTTGAGTTCGCAAAACAGATTACAATTTAAACCTTCTACAGTCTGCATTTGGTTGGTAAACAAGACACAGACACAAATATATACATGCATATTTCAGACAGAGACACACTATTGGAATCAGTGATCTTGCTCTCAACTATTGTTTTTTTAAAGGGAGGATATTTCATTTGTGTTGCTACATACTTTCAAATCTTCTCAGGATATGTAAATTATTGTTACCTGTATCTTTTTACTCAAAATTTCTCATTATAATTTTGTTTGGAATTACTCTGTATATCTTGTGAGTTTTTTAATTGGTGTTTTCCATTGTGTTGTGTAGGTTGTGATCTGTACCATGGAAATTGGATACATGATCCATTGGGACCATTATACACAAACAATTCATGCCCTGTAATTACACAGATGCAGAATTGCCAGGGTAATGGGAGGCCTGACCAGGATTATGAGAATTGGCGATGGAAGCCCTTTCAGTGTGACATACCACGATTTGATCCCAAGAAATTTTTACAGCTGATGAGAGGGAAGACCTTGGCTTTCATTGGAGATTCAGTAGCTCGAAACCAGATGGAATCAATGCTGTGTATTCTCTGGCAGGTTGTTTCTTTTTTCCAGGCAAATTTTATTAAATTAAAAAAAAAAAAAAACACCTTTTGGCACTAGGACCCTTCATGTGTCCTTTGTGCCAGCTGCACCACGCCATGTTCTTGATCAAATGATTTGTTGCCAGTCAGTATAATGCATTTGACTTAAGATATTCGTACATATGCGTGCAGGGTGCATGAGTATGAGCATCCATTTTATCATAGTAAGAAGCTTAACTAAAAAAATATTATGCTTTCAGGTAGAGGTACCGAAGAATCGGGGAAATCGTAATATGCAACGATATTATTTTAGGTCCACATCTGTAATGATTGTCCGGATATGGTCCTCGTGGCTTGTCAAACAAATATCTGAACCATTTGATTTTGCTCCAGCTGGTGTGGATAAGCTCCATTTAGATGCCCCTGATGAGAAGTTGATGGAATATATACCAAAATTTGATGTGGTTGTTCTTTCTTCTGGTCATTGGTTTGCCAAGAAGTCTGTGTATATTTTGAACAATGAGATAGTGGGAGGACAGTTGTGGTGGCCAGACAAGTCCAAGCCTAAGAAGGTTAACAATGTTCATGCATATGGTATATCTGTTGAAACAATTCTCACTGCTCTTGTCACACATCCAAATTACACAGGGCTTACAATTATGCGTTCCTATTCCCCTGACCATTATGAGGGTGGGGCCTGGAACACAGGTGGATCATGTACTGGGAAGGTTAAGCCTCTTACACTTGGTGAACTGGTGGAAAATGGGCACACAAATACAATGCATGAGCAACAGGTTACAGGTTTTAACCGTGCAATGAAAAAGGCAACAAGTAGATCAAAGTTGAGGTTAATGGATATCACTGAAGTCTTTCAATACCGGCATGATGGTCATCCTGGCCCTTACCGGAGTCCTGACCCTAATAAGATCACAAAACGTGGTCCAGATGGAAGGCCTCCACCACAGGATTGCTTGCACTGGTGCATGCCAGGTCCTGTAGATACCTGGAATGAACTTGTGTTTGAAATCATTAAGAGAGAATTTGAAGGCCAAAGTGCATCATGAGATTTGATTTGATTTAATTTATTTTTTTGACACTCAAGCTGCATAGAATAATATATTATAGCCTTATGGTATCTTTTCACAGAATAATATATTATAGAGAAATTAATTTATTTCTTTAAGGATTGGGATGATATGCATATGCTGCTACCTTATACCTCAACCATCAAAGACATCAGTACTACTGACGTGGCTAAATATGTTCCTCTTAAGTTCGTTTTTAGTGGTTCTTTGTTACTAGTACGTAGCAATAGCAAGCCAAATTAGTTTATTGATGAAATATAAATTTTCATGCTGTGTTGAAGGTTTAAGCTAAGCATTTTCCTTTAAAATTTTTTGGGGATAGTACGTATATCTTTTCTCATATGGGCAGTATGCTACATGTTGACTTAAGCAACAACTGGTTTTCTGGTACCCTGGATTTGGCACTTGGAGATGACTTATTTCTCTCCTCATTTCAATATTTGAATATTGGCCACAATTTCCTTGATTAGTGAGCTATTTGCTCATGATGGTATATGATGCTAGTAATAATCAGTTAGTGGGGTGATATGCTTACCTCTACGCTTGTGGTGTCTGTATGGATTCTACCTTCTTTGGTTATGTGATGCTAGCAATGTTCAAGAAAAGACAAAAGTTTTGAAAGGCCTATAAGGTGGTCGTACATCACAAGGCTTTGCGATTTTTTTAGCCTGTAAGGACTTTTTTTTTTGTGGACTTTAGTCCCGTGAGCTTTTTAGCTCCAACTTGCGTGAGTTAGAACTGACCCATATTGACAACTCCACGGCTCCTTATACCTTTTTTTTACTTATCAAGAAACTTAATTTTTGTTAATTGACAAATTAATTATCCTATTAACCAGTATAGATCAGGTAGACTCATCATAAATATTTTAAGTAGTGGACATTATTTGGGTCAAGGGAGGCAGCTGGCTTCCTCATTCCCCAAAATTTTAGTTTCAATGATAATATATATAAATTATGGGTTTAATGTTGTAGGATATAAATTTTATTTCCTATATATATATATATATATATATATATATATATAAATGTATATGAGGAGAAGAAAGAGAAAGAAAAAATATGAGTTTCACATATTTTTATGTATATATAGCAGATAAATTTATTTCCTATAACATAAGAAATAATAAATTCATAAACTATAATATATGCATTGGGGATTGTTAATATCAATGAAGCATGTTTAGGTGTTATGGTTTCTGATAACCTATCAGTGATGATTTATTTACTTCGCAATTTCTATATATTTCAGATAATCTAATATTAAATTTTAATGAGTGATAAAATTTGTGTTTATTTTTTTTCCATAGATATTCCCACATTTTGACCGTCCCTACCTAACCTAAAAATGGCATAGCAATAAAATTTTATGAGAGGGAAGGGGTGAAATTGCAAGTGCATTCTTCCTTGTATATTACTACTATTTCTATGACATAAATGCTCGTTTGACGGGAATGATAGGACAAAAACGGATAGGATAAGAGAGTTGGATAAGGGTAGGATATGAGGCTGATAAGCCTATATCATGTCCTGTGTTTGATGAGCACCTGATTAGCAATCTGATAAGATTATGTTATCTTAACATATGTTTGAGGCGAATCAGATATCATCGGGATATGATCCAAATAGACTAAAATACCCTTTTTAACATAATGTCATATAATTTATCAAAAACTTATATTTAAATTTTTTAAATTTATTTATACAATTCTAACAATTATAATTTTAAACAAAATATTTTTAATTAACTTTTTTACTCTTAAGACTTTTTCTCTCTCTTCAAGCGAGTATTTCCCTTTCTTCTTCCCCCTTTGTTAAGTTTCTTTCTTTTGTTTCTTTTTTAAGTTCCATTGGCCAAATTTAATCACAAGAGGTTGTTGAGGATTCGGTCTTCGCCGACCACCGCTTGAAGACTCTTCCTGTTCTGCATTTTTTTTCTCCCAAATCTAAGCCGCCATAAATCTGGGTTTTTTTCCCACCTGAATCGCTTCAATGGTGGAAATGTCTGTTTCCATTAATCTTATACGTTTACACGTCGATCCCAAGTTTGAGAGAAAAAGGATCTCAAGTACGATTCAGATCCTGTTGGGTAGCGTGCGAATATATTGAGTATTTAATAATGGTATCCTATCTTGTTGAATCCTAACTCAGCTCTCTCATAGGATAAGAAATCATCTATTGGATAGGATAAAATGAGACAATAGGATAAGCTAATCATATCTTAGTGACCCACCAAACTAGAAATAAAAATAGGATATGATAAATTATCCTATTCTATCTCATGTGATAGGTTATTCAAAGAGAAATTCGTAATACTTTGCAAAATCAAAAACTTTAAGAGTGATTTAAATATACATTTTGATGATAAAAAAATTGCATGTGAGATTGGTTATTCCTTAGTAACTTTTCCATCCTTACTATGTTGAAAGTGTTGTATTTAAAGATTGATATTTTATTATGTGAAGAAATATCTAATACAAAATTGATCTAAGTAGGATCCTCTTTGAATGATATAAATAATTTTGCATTTTTTATCATTTGATTGATTTTGTGATTTAAAGATATATAACTGTCATCAATTAAGAGATTTCATGTTAAAATTTCAGGTGAAAATTTTGTGCTTATCTTTTTATTTATTTATAAATAACCCTCCAATTATCAAAATCCCATATCATTATTTTCGCTTTAAATCTCTCACGACAAGTGAATTTCTCCCGATTTTAAATTTTAACATAATCTATATATCCTACAAGGGAAAAAGGTGTGTCATTTTAAATAACACATCTTACATCCTTTCATTCTCACAAAGAGGTGAGGCTCACATCTTTAAAACTTTTTCCCTCCTGATATGATCCCCCAATAGGATTGGAGGAATGGATCTACTAGGAATGGAAAATTATAACTCCAAATTCAGCCGCCAACACGTACTGTTAAAAACAGAACGTATCTCACGCTACGGACCTCAGATTTGGGTGATTCCAAAACGAGGTGAAAGATGGCTTCCTGAATCACGATTTTGGCACAAGAATCATCGGAAAAGGATAAGGAATTCGGGAGATATGAATCCAAGATAATATAGAACGAAATTGGAGTTTAAGGATTATAGGTAGGCGCCACAATTCCAAAGAATTGATAAGCCCAAGAACGCCACAAGGATTGATGCCCTTGGTAAGTTCAGAGATTCTCAAAAGAACCCAAGAGAACTAGCCTCACCAAAATAGGTTAACTTGATATTCCAAATCTGTCTTCAAAAGCCATGGTGTTCCCTTATATAGTGGGCAACAACCATATTGAGTTTAACCTAAGAGTGCTTACACAAAAGAAAATAGACAGCCCAATAAGCCTTATTATAAAAAGTTTAACTAAATATAAGAAAATAAAAATTAAGTGCAGAATTTGGGCCAAGTAAAATAAAGCCTTCATGCATATCCGTTGAGGCTTATTCTTCAAGGTCTTCAATTTGAATTAAGTGTATCATTTTGGGCTCTTCTTCCTTTAGACTTGGGCTTGTCTCAAGTAAAGTGGTCACCAAGAGATTTAGAGGCTCTTTAGCCTTTTTAGCTTTTGCTCGTTATTGGGCCTCCAAGACTTTGTATGTCCTCCAAGTTTGTTGTCTTGGTCATGCCACCTCCTATGTCCTCATCACCTCCACTTTCTCTTTCATGATTTATCTCTTTCTCTCTCTTTCATGATTTATCTCTTTCTCTCTCTTCCATGATTTATCTATTTCTCTCTCTTAAAATGACACAACTTTATATCCTTTAAAATGATACACATTTTTCCCATCCTACAATCTAATTTACGCGATCCAATGAGTTATCAAATAAATAAAAAAAATCCTAACTCATTTTTTTCTTAGGTGCTGCTAGGAGATTTATTTGTAAAAACTTGGGAAAGTGAGGTTGGATAAAAAAGAATGCAAAGTTTGGTAGCCATTTAATAAAATTTTTCCCGAGAAATTTTCACTCCTCGAATTCGACTTGATGTGTAAAATGAAAGACAAACAACCAACAAATAATACCACAGATTAATTGGATTTCTTCCTTTCTAGTGTAAGAGGCACAAAAATCGAGAAAAATTTGTCCAAAATAACCCTGATAATTGTATTGTGTCGTTGTTGTGTGATTGTTAATCAATGTACTGTTTCACTATTTGATTAGACATATGTTTCTGTTTCTGATCAGCCAATGGAGTCTTAGGATATACAAACACATGTTTGAATAAAAATGTGAAAGTAGGGTTATTTTGTTAAAATAACCTCACATTCCCACTAATATTTCATAATTAACAAAACACAAATTCAATAAATTTTTTTATTTTTTTGAAAAAATATGGGTCTACCAAACAGTTTTTTATTAACATTTCAATAAAATATATTTTCCACTATATTCCGATAATAATTATTTTTTGAATAAAAAAAATTTCTCATGTACCAAACATCTCCTTACTACAGTTTTTTATGAAAATGTGATTGGCCAGTCTGCTTACTACATGTTTCTAGTTGGTAAGGTAAGAAGAGTTGTGTTACTACTTACTAGTACTTGCTAAATCCAAATTTTCTTACAACTTTCTCTCTCTTCTAAATTGAAATTCAAATATTTTTCTTTCCTATGTCATCATCATATAATTCAAAAATCGTTTTCTTTTCTTAGAATCCGAAGCCCCACAGACACATAAAATAAAAATAATACTTTTTATTTATTTTAAAAAAAAAGCAGGTAGGGAGAGAGAAAGAGAGAGAGAGAGTAATAATAAATGCAAATCAAAATCAAATTCACGAGAGCGCTCTTCAACGGTCCTCTCTCCTCAAAACGGCTACATTCTCTCTCGCTCTCTCTCTCTCTCTCTTTTCAATTCAAACTTCAAACCCATTTTCCACGAAAACAAGTCACTTCATTTTCTCGGGAAAATCGTCATTCCTCTTCTCAGCAGCGAGCGAGTAAGGAAAATCCCAACGCGAAGCAATTCATCGATCCCTAGTGTTGTTCAGGTCAGTACTCACATCATTTTACTCAGTAAAAGTTCTCATTTCGCTCCTCAGATTCGGACCAGAACTGGAACCACCGGCCAAACCCCTAACCCTGGGAAATTGAAACCTCTGTCTAAATCTGGACACGTTCAATTCAGTTTCTGTATCGTTCCAGCGAGTTTCCCTTTTCCTCATTGTGAAATCCGTAAGTCTATTTCTCGCTGCCGAGCCCGCCCGAGTTTGTTTGTGTTTTGTTTCTTGCTCTTTTGAAATTTGAATTATGTAGCTACTTCCAGCTGAGATCGATGTAGTATTTCTCTGAATCAGATTAATAGAATAAGCTGTGTACTTTCCCCCCTCGTGTTTTTCAAAATTGAGTTCTGATTGAATTCGGGGTTCTATTAAGTTTTTTTTTTCTTGATATTGTTTAGTTATCTTGATTTTTCCATTTGAGACGACGGGATTGAGTGAATTCATGTTCTAGGTCTAGCACTAGCAGTGATGTTACTAATGTAGTGTTTCTCTTGAGCTTGTTTTACTGAGCCCGTGGGTCCATCCTTGTGATAAAGGTTCGGGTTTTAGGTTTTAGAGGTATTTGTTTAGTGAAGAGAACAGTAGTCGCTGTTTATTATGGCATTTCACTGTTTAGCAATTATATCGTTGTGTCATCGTTTAACTTGCAATTGCAAACATATATTTGAGCCATAACGTTACATGTTGGGAGCGGCGTTGGCTGCCTTTTTTGCATTGGCTACAAATTTTGCTTCTGGGCCTCAATCAAAATTCAAGATCCTTTTCTATATTGGCACCTTTTGAACGGAGGCCTGTTCCGTTTTTTAATATGTTTTTCTGTAGCACGTATTTTGTTGGTGTCTATAGCTATGATACATAAATTTCCAGTCATGTTATAATGAGTCAATGACAGTTTATGTCATTCATGTTTTCACTGCTTTGATCTTTCTGAATTTTAAGAATATGTTTCTGGCAGATACAAGTGTCCCAGAATGTCTAAACCTCAAAACGATCCACTTTTGCAAGCCGAAACAACTTGTGGGTCACTTCTGTATGAACTTCAGGTATACATTAAATTTCGCTGCAATCACTCTCCTACCCCCCAGCAGATTGAAGAATATTTGGTAAAACTGGCAGAATTTCTCATTTTTAGCCTCAACTGAATTATTAGATAATATGGAACGAAGTTGGAGAGTCTGAGGCTGACAGAGATAGAATGCTGTTTGAACTTGAACAAGAGTGTCTAGAAGTGTACAGAAGGAAGGTAGATCTGGCAAATCGGTCTAGAGCTCAATTAAGGCAGGCAATTGCTGATTGTGAGGCAGAACTTGCAGCCATCTGTTCAGCAATGGGAGAGCGACCTGTACATATTCGGCAGGTCAGACATTTTAAGAATTGCTATAATTTGCTTATTGTTGTTTTAGAAAGTGTTTGTCTATTACATGAATGGGATGGAAAAAGTGCTCAAGTTTACAATAATTTGGAGTGCTAAAATTTGCATTTTAAAAAAATAAGTTGCATTGCTTGGTGGATCCCCACCCTATATATAGCTTTAAAGACTAATTATGTGCCAATTTCTTGAGTTTTTTTCTGTCAAGATAATTTGTTATCCGATTAGGCTACTAATATGATTGATACTCTCTGACTCTCAATTTTCTAGTCTGATCAAAATGCTGGAAGCCTGAAGGAAGAGCACTCAAGAATTCTTCCACAGTTGGAGGAGATGCAAAAAAGGAAGTCTGAGCGTAGAAATCAATTTATAGAAGTTCAAGAGCAAATTCAAAGTATCTCAATTGAGATTTATGGTCCCAGAGAGTATATTCCTGCCATTGTAGATGAAACTGATTTATCCTTGAGAAAACTTGAAGAATTACACAGACAGCTTCATGCACTTCAAATTGAGAAGGTCAATAATTTACTTCCACTCATTTTTTTACTGTTTCACTTGCTTACAACATTTTATGCTCTTTATTACTATTACTAATTAGGCTTGTATCTTATTTTTATGCAGAATGGTCGCCTCAAGAAGGTCCAGGAGCACTTGTATGCTCTAAATTGTCTTTGTTCAGTGCTTGGTTTGGACTTTACACAGACAGTCAATGGAATTCATCCCAGTTTAGGAGACTCAGATGGATCTAAGTGTGTAAGTAATGATACCATCCAGCAATTGGCTGTTGCTGAACAAGAATTGCGGGAAGTTAAATTACAGAGAATGCAGAAGGTAAAGAATGATTTTGAAATAAATTCTATCACTTTATATTTAGAAATTTGCATTCTGTGCTCTGGTTGATAGTTGTAAATAACTTGTGGTTTGGCAGCTCCAAGATCTTGCAACAACAATGTTGGAGCTCTGGAACTTGATGGATACACCTATTGAAGAGCAACAGATATTTCAGAATGTTACTTGTAATATAGCTGCTTCAGAACATGAAGTAACTGAACCAAACACCTTGTCCGTGGACTTCATCAATTGTGTGAGTAATAAGTTACTTGAGTATGATACAGACTATATTTCTTGGTTTTATGTGTTCATTACTCATGGAGAATCAATGATGTCATGCAGGTTGAGGCCGAAGTATCTAGGTTAGAAGAGTTGAAATCAAGCAAAATGAAAGAGCTTGTATGGAAGAAGAGAACAGAGCTGGAGGAGATTTGTCGAAAGACTCGTTTGGTTCCAGAAGTAGATGGTGCATTGGAATACGCTGTTGAAGCTATAGAATCTGGTAAATTTCTACTTTCTATATTAAGGTATTTCTGGACATGGAAATCATTGCTTCTTTTGTCAACTTAAAAGTCTGACCCTTCCTATTTGATGCAGGATCCATGGACCCTGCTTGTTTGCTTGAACAAATTGAACTTCAGATTGCCCAAGTCAAAGAGGAAGCTTTTAGCAGAAAAGAAATACTTGAAAAGGTTGAGAAATGGTTGGTAGCGTGTGATGAAGAGTCTTGGCTTGAGGAATACAACAGGGTTAGTTGCTTGTATCCTCCTTCAACATTGCAATTCTGAGTCCTTTTTCTTTTATCTAAACTTACGATTTGGTAATTTAACTGTTTATTTTATTTATATTTCAGGATGAAAATCGATACAATGCTGGGAGAGGTGCTCATCTTACTCTCAAGCGAGCTGAGAAAGCTCGTGCCTTGGTTAACAAAATGCCAGGTATTTATGGATCATAATTGTTAGCCGTATTTGTTATTAATTTGTTATTGGACCTTTACCATTATGGTTCCATGATATAACACAACAAATTTATTATAGAGCATTATGAGTGCAACTAAATTTTATACGGAGCTTCAGCATGGGTGCCAATTTGGATATGAAGTGATAGTTCTTAATATTCTGACTTTGCTTGTGAGTTACAAAAGCAATTATGGAGTGAAAAACACTAGTTTAGTTATTTTCGTGATTGATTTTCTTCAAGTCTTATTCCACTACTTTCATCTTTCAACTTCATTTCTCTGCCTAGCTGTCTGATTGTGCTTCTAGCATATTTTTTCTCTGCATCAGTGTTTGTGTATAATTTTAAAATTTCTCTCTTTTTGCATATAGCAATGGTAGATGCTCTGACTTCAAAAACTATAGCATGGGAAAAGGAAAAAGGCATTGAGTTCGCATATGATGGTGTAAGTACACTCTCTATAATACCTGCAATGAGCTAGTTTCATAAAGAATTTTTAATTTTTCAGATTTTGTTTTAGTTGGTTGCTCAAGTAAATCTACTTCAAAATGATTTCTTCTGTGTGGGGCTTTCTAGATTCGTCTACTCTCTATGGTTGAAGAGTACAATATATTACGGCAAGAGAAAGAGCAAGAACGTCGTAGGCAGCGGGTATGGGCCTCTTATTGCATTTAAAAATTCATCCCAGATGAACTTTCCAGTTATAAAACACTTATTATTGTCTCTGACTCTGGGTTTTGAAATCTGGTATTGTCTCTGACTCTGGGTTTTGAAATCCAGGCAACATTTATTGACCTGTATATCATTCAACAAATAGATGTTTTGTGGTGTTCCTCCAAAACTTGTTAAAATATTATTTTCCTGTTTCAGGATCTGAAGAAACTTCAGGGACAAATTATAGCGGAACAGGAGGCACTATATGGGTCAAAGCCAAGCCCTTCAAAGCCTCAGAGTGTAAAAAAGGCACCTAGGATGTCAACTGGAGGTGCAGCTAGTAGAAGAATCTCCCTTGGAGGAGCAATGCTTCAAACTCCAAAACCTGATTCAAAAGCTACTCATTCACGTGCCATGAAAAAGACTGACAAAGCGCACCAATTTGAGCAACTAAATTACCTGGATGATAGCGTTTCGGGTTTATCATCAGGTAGTTTCTTTAAACTCTGCTTTTCCTCTCCTTTTTTGGTTAAAGTTTAGGGTTGCAGATTTCTGGCGTATTAAGAATTTATAAATCATGTTTCTTCCTGTTTGGCTGAAAAGAAGAAAGAATAGGAATCAAGTCAGTCTCTTAGTGTGGGTAAAAGAAAAATATTGTGTGTAAAACCATATTTTCTTTTCTTCGTTTGAGGAAGCAGATGATGTTCCAGATTCCAGTATCATAGTGTTTTTCAATCTGTGAATTTTCTTCTCAAAATGGATGACACAAAGAGAGGCCTTGCTCAATGTAGTTACCAGGTCTAACTTGTCATAAAAAACCAGCCTCAAAGATTGTCAGATACCAGTTTTATGTTTTCGTTTGTTTTAGTAGAAGATGTTCCAACGGATTCTCCCTAGTATTCTTCTTCATGATGATGGCTTTACGCATTCTCATGTTACCGTATGACACGTTTAGAACTCATATATGTAATTTTTGTTTTGCCTTGTGTTTGTGCAGCTAGAAGAGGGCTGGATATTGCTGGTGTTCCTATAAAAAAGCACTCATTTGGTTCTGGGAGTGCTCACGGCATAGAATCTCCTCTGACCCGACAACCTTTTTCTCCCATCTCGTCTAATGTATCATCATCAAAAGATGAAATGAATATACAGAGTGAGAAGTTGCTGAAAACCATGCCACTTAACAATGTGGCATTCACTACTCCCTCCAAGACAGCTACTGTTGTAGATGAAGAGAATAGAACACCAAAGGCAATGCCTATTCCTGTCCCAGCTACACCTTCTACGGTGTCAGTTCCAATGAATATGGCCATGACTCCAGCTCCTTCATCAGTTATGTTGAATATGGCCATGACTCCAGCTCCTTCATCAGTTCTGTTGAATATGGGCGTGACTCCAGCTCCCTCATCAGTTCCTCAAGAGATTGAATATTCCTTCGAGGAAAGAAGGCTCGGTTTTGTTTTAGCATAATTCTTTTTGTTTGGTTTTTTATTTTACTTTTGTTGTTTCCTGTGGCTGTGATGGATATTGGATAATCAGAAGTCAATTGTAATTGGCTTCCTGATTTGTGTACATAGTCTACGAGGAGTGGACGTAGACTAGGATGCGGAACAAATATACTAATGTGAGAATTTGCGTTCTATTGTTGCGATTTAGTTTCTTCGTTAATATTTTGAATTCAAAATATTTTATCATGAGATTTAACAGTACCTTTCATTATTGTAGTTCTCCTACAATGACTCAAATTTCAATGGGAGAGTTTATTGACATGTAGAGATCATCATATAGACGATTGGCAAGTTAACTCATCATCCTCTTGCTTTTCTTATTTCTTCTGCCACTTTCTGGACTTGTTTTGTTAAAACTATATATTATTGAATTCAATTTTAGATTCAGGATATAACTGATATTCAACACGATGAGACATCTTATTCTTCTATTAGTTATAGTGCCATCAAACATTTGTTTTTCAAGCACTCGATTCATCATCACCTTGAAAGCAATATTTGTCAGGCGATCATATTAGGTAACTCTTAAAATAATTGGAAAAAATAATAATATCCATGTGGTCATATTTGCAAACCTACGTTTTTTTATTTATTTTTTATCCAATGCGGTTTGAGTACTGTTTTTCCACCATATAGTAGGATCTTGTGAGTTTTGCAATAAGAAATGTTAAAAAAGTGTTTCACCTATGTACTAAAAAAAAAAAAAAAGTGCTTCACCTCTTATTCGTGGCATGTTTTGTCTGCTTATCAGTTCTTAGCGAGGGAAACTCCCGAGACTTTGATTTTAATCTATTATAATTACTAAAAGCTTTGATTAATTTATGATCAGTTGAATCATTCATTTATTTTTTTTCCTTTCATGTAACAACTGTGTAAGGACCTTTATCAAATCAACAATAAAAAAAAAAAAATTAATAAATAAGAGAAGTAATTGTCAATTTTGTCATTTTATGTACAACTTGATTGAGTAACATTACTCTATGTCTTTACCACGGTTAGGGGAAAAAATCTTCAGTTCAGTGTATCCGTAATTTATTTATATTATGATAAATAGATGTATTCTGTACAAATTTCTAGACATCCAAGATCCATCTATATATTCTAGTATAAATGAACCACAGAGCTAAGTTATATGAGTTCCTTCAAAATAATTGCACTTATAATTTTTCTTAATAAAATTTTAATTAAAAGTTATTTGAACATAAAATAACTTAGTTTATAAATACACTTATCTTAAGATAAGCTTGCACATTTGAAATTACTTTCACAAGTAACGCAAAATTTGGTTCAAGTATCTATCTACCTACTTACCAGTCCATGAAGCAGACTTCAAAAAAATCTGACACAGTATCGTAAGTAACTGTTCCATAATATTAGTAGCTTTAAATATAGAGGGAACAGATCCGTGACACAGAGAACATGGATTTTGAGCATCATGAGATGATATCTGAACAAAATTTTCTGGGAAACATGATATTATCTTTATTACATCTGTTTTATTTATTATTTTTAATTTTGATAAAGAGTTTGTACCGTGGCATTTGCAGTAGATTCACCAAACCAAGAGGGCAATTTCAAATTACATTTTTTTTTTTCTTAAAAATTCATCAATTTGTGTTTTGTAGGTCAACTTTAATTTAATTTAACTGAAAGGACAAAGAACTTGTCAGTAGTTGGGAAAATGTAGTGGCTCCAATCTTAGCTTTACAGCTTTAAATATATTTTTTTTAAGAAAAGCTTTAAATAAATAAATGCCAGTTTTGTATTAAAAAAGGCAATTTCTTTCCTTTTCAAAAATGTTACATCTTTTTTTAATGCATTCAAATTAAGTATCTGCATTCACACTCATTTATTAATTCACCTTTATTAAATTTCCAAGACGGACGTGAACCTATTTCTTAACCAAAATTTATACTTTGAATTTTACTATTAAAATATTAATTCATAATTAAATTCCCAATATTTAATTACTTTATTTTAAGATTTATTTAATTTTCCGAATTTTTTTATATCAACTTTATTTATTTACTCCACCTTTTTCCTGCAAAACCCTAAATTCACATATCACTCTGGAGAATTTGTGAATCAGAGTTTGTATTTTTCTCTGTAATTGTAGAATTTTTTTTCTCAAAATTCTGTGTTAATTTCGAAGTTCTGTGTGATCTCTGCAATGGTGCAGATTTGAGCTTGCAGAACTGCGATTTTCTCGGAGGCTAAGCTCAACTGCTCCAATTCCACTTCTGGGTTTTCATATTTTCACTATTTCATACAAAAAAGTTTGTGTTTTTGAAGTGTCTTGTAAGATTGTAAGTTTTTCCTGCATTAAAATCAACTTCTCTTCAATAAAGTTAGCATTATTTCCCTTTTAAATTTTTTTTTTCTGATATTTTCTGGGTGATTGAGTGTGAAAATGTTTGAATCTTCAATGGGTAGGGTTTAAGCAAAATTTTGAGGTTTTGGGGTATCTTAGTTTTTCTTTGATTCGCATAAAAATGGAGGAAAGGGTGAGTTTTGGTGCTGGGCATGCAGTGGTGGGGGATGAGGCCCCAGAGAGCTTCCACGTGGCTCCGAGGATTGAGAACAACTTGGACTTTTCCAGGGCCACGGTGCCGGCGCCGACGCCGGCGACGGTGCAGAAGAAGAAGAGGGGGAGGCCAAGGAAGTATGCACCGGACGGAAAGCTGGCGTTAGGGACTGTGACGGCGCTATCGCCGATGCCGATTTCATCGTCGATTCCGTTGACCGGCGAGTTCTCAGCTTGGAAACGAGGTAGAGGGAAGCCTGTTGAATCTATCAAGAAGTTATCATATAAGTATGAAGTTGAAAGTCCAGGACCAGGTATTATATAGTTTCTTTGATCTTTTGAATTTGAACTTTGAATGAAAGCCTTTAATGTTTGTTACTGTTTTTTTTTTTTTTTTTTTTTGGGTTTTACAGTTACATTCGTTGCTGAGATTTTGTTTTTACTGCTACATTTGCAGTTTTTAAGAATTTTGGAGTATGAGAGTAATAATAAATGAATGAATCCTTCTAACCTAATTGCTCTTGTCATTTACCTTTTTAGTGGAGGAATATCGTAAGTAATTTTTATTTTTATTTTTTTTATTTTTTATTTTTTTTGCTTTGGGTTCTAACCTATTTTGATTTGGAGGTAATCATTTGATCAGTTAGTTTTTTCCTCTGATCTGTGTTTTTAGTGTATAGTTAGTTTCTTGGATTTTATTTACTCTTTTGTGATAAGAGTTTATATGGGGTGTGGGGGTATGAGTGGACCCTTAGCTCAGATTCCTTTTCAGATCTGTATACATATTGTGAGGTGGATGGAGATATTTTGTGGTTGAAAGTGAGGTTGGTTTTTGTTTCAGGGAGCATATGATACTTTTTTATTTTTCTATATGAGGAGACGAAGAGGTTGGCATTATCTGACCATGGAAACATTTAGAGTAAATGAAGGAACCAGCTTATTCAGTAGCTTGAGTCAAATAGTTTGTTAGCTGATGTGACCTCGCTTGAACTAGTCTAAAGTCTTAAAACTAATAATTATTTTTTAGCTGCTTACTAACTGCTTTGTTGGATTGGAAAAGTTTATAAAATGGATTCCATAATTGGAACTCTGGTTGGAAATATTTTCAAATAGTTGAACTTATCCTTTAAGGATGTTAAGAGCGGCTTCTTAGCATGATAGTATATGTTTATATAACATTCAAATGCAATGAAATATTTTTAAAGTTCAAGGAAGAGCTTTGTGGTCCCATGGGGTAGATTTGGAAGAAGGATAAGGGAAGGTTTTAAGTGGACCTTCCTCTGTGTGGGGGGTTTTATAAATAGAGAACTAGATAATAAGGGATTTTCATGAGATCATTTAAAACTCTCCCTTATTCAGTTTTTTGAACATTAAAATGTTCTCTCGATTTTGTAGGATTTTAAACATCAAAAGAAAAGGAAAGAAAATAAATTATTATTTTATCCCTCATTTCATTCTCTTCCTTTTTCCCTTCTCTTTCTCTGCTAACATCCAAACACACCTCTTGTGCAAGATACGTTTCTAAATAATGACAAGGGGGGTTATGAACATTGAATACTTTTGTTTAATATAGTAGGCATGCTTATGCTACATCTTGCTTGACTGAATATGCTGACTTCTAAATATGAACAAGATCCGGGTTCATGAATTTTTTTATGAGAGTTGGCTCTCTGTCTTTGAAGGTTCTGAAGGAGGTCTAGAATGCCATATAGAACAGTAGGTTATTTATGGACTTGATTCGTGAAGCAGAGTAGATCTAGGATAGCAACCAGGGTTATATGGTATTGTGTGTGAATACCGATTAGTGTGTGTGTTTTTTTTTTTTTTAAGCGAACTAGAAAGTTCCTCTTTGGACTTACATCAATGCACTATTTTATTTCCTGTCTCTCTCCATCTATTCATCTTCCCATATATGTATTTTATAGGTGAGGGAATTGCATACTCAGTTGGTGCCAATTTCACACCGCATGTGCTTACAGTAAATGCTGGCGAGGTATTCTGTTCATTTCCTTTTAGGTCTATATGCGGAAGTTTAGTTAAATTATAGTTTTATTCTTATGAATTTGTGTATGAATGCCATATACAGTTGACATGCAAAAGCCATTCATTTTCCTTACACTTTAAATGCCATTTTCATATAAAAACCACTCCACGAAATCCAAACTTGCGAGCGTAGGGGTGAAGAAATCCTTATACGCGCAGTCTTGCCCTTGCATGTTATAAAGATGCCTTTTTTGGATTCATACCCATGATCTTTCGATAACAAAAGAGCAGTTTTATCACTTCTCTAGGCTTGCTCCCTTGCCAAATTTTCTTAAAAACAAATTTTGTTAAAAGATAGAAAAAAAAAAAAATCTAATGTGTAAAATGTAAATAACTTCAGAACATGCAATATTTTCCTTTTGGTCCAAACTCGTATGTGTTTATGTACTTTATGTATGTTTATTGTTCGTGCATTAACTAACTCCTATTTATTTCTTGTCTTTTAGATGTGCTAAACTATAATATTACTTAGGGTTTTATAATTCTCATGTTGAATGAGAATTGAAATCTTATGTTGTAGAGATAAAAAGCATGTGAGACTCATGTGTTACAAAAAATTATATGTAGAATCCATGTCAGCACGGAAATCAAAGGGTGTGTAGGAAAATTTTAATTCTCATGTTGAATGAGAATTATAAAACCCTATTACTTATGATAAAATTATTTGTCTGCTTGATGTTAATTATTAAGGAATGAGGATATCCAATTATATGAAATTATTTGATTCTAGAGTACCAATTTTAATTACATAGTTGTTACATAGTTTAAAGAATACCAGGCTGTTTAAAGTAAATGCTGAAGTTGTAGAAAAAATAAGTGAAATAAGGTATATAAATATATGTTTATTTTTATTTTTTTCATTTCTAATAAACTCTAAAGTACAACTATGTAACATATAATTTATCCATAAATTATGAAAAGAGACATTGGCATGTTAACCTTGTTATACTTATAATAATGAAGAAATACAGTTATTTGCAATATGTAATAGTGATGTGACATCGCACAACTTGTATTTTACTATTGCATGGGTCATATCTTGTGGTTGTGTACAATGTCATTATCAGTGAAGTAAACTATTGACATGCATTATTGTTTTTTAATTTCATTATTGGTGTGCTTATTTGTATTTGTGATTTTCCTGTGGTCTGTCTCAGGATATTACTATGAAGATTATGTCATTCTCTCAACAAGGATCACGTGCTATTTGCATTCTCTCTGCGACTGGCACAATTTCAAATGTTACACTTCGTCAACCGACTTCTTCCGGGGGTACTTTAACATATGAGGTGAGTTCAATCTTATGTAATCAGCACAAAAAGAAAATGAGTTCAGCCATTTGTTTCTCTATCAGATAATGTTTATATAACATTTAGTCAATTGCATAATATGCAACACCAATGCACTTGGTTTATATGCAGCCCTGACTATCTGGCATTGTATGTATTGATGTTATATATCTAATGTTAATTTTTTTAAATGTGCCCTAAAAGTGAAGGCTCCTTTGGTGCTGGGTTTTTTTACTTTAGAAAGAAGGGCACATTTAGATGATATTAGTGTGTGTTGGGAATAACATATTTTGGGAAAGTAAATTATTATTTTTAGTGAGAGAGCTTAACAAAAGCAATCATTTCCCCAAAAATAAGCTGAAACAAAACATGCATTTAAGTGGAAACTAATGCATCACTGCAGATTGTTCGAATGTTACCAAAAAAAAATTAAGAATTGGGGCTTTGCTGACTAAACATTTTCAGTATATTTGATTTTGGCAAGTGCATGAGGATAATAACCTTTTTTTGGGTACATTTCCCAGAGGATAATAACCATCATTATGTGATTTGGCTTCTCGCGTAAAATTCTCTGTAAGGACAGATGTTATTAGTTACATTAATATGTTCATCAGTCAATTGGTTGCTATGATAATCTCGATATTAGCAAATGTTGAAGTGACAGAAATAGAAGGATTTTTGTAACTGTTCTCACTTCTTATCCACAAATTCTGGACTTGGGATGCCGTTTTGTTTTCATATATTCATAATTTCTAGCTGAATTGCTTTAGTTTGAATTACCCTCATAGCTCTAAGCAAGTAGCATAGATTTTGGCATCTTTCCTATATGAACACTAGGGATGAATCCTGTAGTTTTTCATGTTTCCATACTTGCCACTTGTCTTGGATACTGCCGAGGACCTCATTTTGGACATCAACAACTCATGTCTCTTTGCATGTGATACTTATTTTGGAGACTAATTGTGTGTGGTTTCAGGATATAACTTCTGTAGCTTTTGGAATCAGAGATTTGACAAATGGCTAATTCACTAACTTCCTCAACAAGGATAACTCATTCTTCTTTTACCATTAATTCATTACACACTGAATTGATGTTACAGATATCTTCCAATTTCATTTGAGTTACAGCCCTTAGTGAATAGATTAAAAATGCTCACACTTGGTGCTTTTACAGGGACGGTTTGAGATTCTTTCCTTGTCCGGTTCCTTTATGCCAACCGAGAATGGAGTTGCAAGAAGCAGATCTGGTGGGATGAGTGTCACTTTGGCAGGTCCCGATGGTCGAGTAATGGGGGGTGGACTTGCTGGTTTGCTGGTAGCTGCTGGTCCTGTGCAGGTAAACCTCATGCTATTGAAAAGGATGTTTGGTAAAAAATATATATTAAAGAACCTTAGTCAAAACAAGATAATATAATGCGAAAGTTAGTTGTTCAAATTATTCCCATCATCATAAAGCAAATTTTAATTTGTTAAGTTTGTAGGTTAGATGACCAATGATCTTGGATAGGAATTATTATGGTTTATGAATTATATGCATGCCATATCGACTAACCCTGAAAAATACGAATAAAAGCAGAAAACATGCAATGAAGAACCACATTACATTCATGAAGGGCATTTCCTTTAACTATCTTCCTTATCAGGTTGTTGTGGGCAGTTTTCTTCCTGGTCACCAGCTTGAGCATAAACCCAAGAAGCAGAGGGTGGATCATATGCCAACTATGACCTCTACACATGTTAATGTTATATCTAATGAGGAAATAAATGTCAGTTTTGGTGGAGTAAAGCCTATTATGACACCTGCTGCTTTTCAAGAAGAGAATAATGCTTCTTTTAACAATGTTCAAGACTCTAGGAACTCATCTGCTGATGATAAAGAGCCTTTACCTGAAAAGGAGTCTAACCTAGGCCAATCAAATGCTGAGGCTACATTGTGAATTATTTGGTATTCCACAGAGTCAACCTCAATTTCTGACAATTAACTTACAAAGACAGCTCTGATAGTCAGATGAGTGTCACATGGTGGTTTTGACTCAAAAGTTGGACTCTTATGTACTAGGTGTTAGTTGGGAAATCTGTTTGTTAGGCTTTCCACGTGTCCGTTCTCCTGATGTATCTTTAGTATTGTTTACTCATTGTTGTAGCAATTAGATGTAGGATATATGTTGTGCCATTTTTTCTCCCTTATTTACATTCTATATGGATGTTATAAATGTGAGTGGATGTGAGTGTTTCTGTACTGTAACTCAACAATTAATATTATTTGTTGTGAAAGATGAAATTGCATATCAGCCTTTTCGGCTTACCTTCTCTTCCTGCCATGATTCTTTGCTCTAAAGTATCATCAGGGAACTAATAGATATCTCCAATTTCATATATATATAATTTTTCTTTTTGGCCAAACATCTGTGACTTTGATAAAGTAAAAGCATAAGGCTCCGATTTATAATTTTGATCATGAAAATTGAAAAGATGCAAAAGGGGTTTCATCTTTCCTTTTTTTTTTTTGTTTTGCCTTAGCTTAATGAACATTATACTACAGCCTGAAGTGCCACAGCTTCCAGTTAATTACGATGTTAAAACCATCTCTACAACCACATAAACTTTAGGATTAGTCAACTCAAAGTTATCTATTCACAGTCATATAAACTTAAATTGATTTTAAAATATCATTAATTTGTCTAGAACATTGATTTTTCCTAAACTAAATTTATTGTATAATAGTAGGTGCAGCAATTTCGCTGCATTTCTTACACTTTACAATTATCTTAGGCTTTGTAATATTCTACACTACTTTTCTCTTCTATTAACATCCAATTGCAAGAAAGAAAAATAGAGCACACCTCCTTGGGTAGTGCATCAATTATAAGGAAAAAAGAAAAAAGAATGTCTTGGAACTATTTCTTATGATAAAAATAAAAATAAAAATAAAAAATTGAACATAAGGTGAAAATGGAATTTCCAAATATGCTGCTACTTTTTAGCATGCTTTTTAAGCGCTTTGCTTTTTTCTCCTTATCCATGTGACAGTTAACAGGAATAGAGTCCTGCATCGAAATATGTATTTATCTCTTTCTCAGTGGAACTCTCTCTCTCCATTTTTGTTCAGTCTCAGATTTACCAAAGCACTATAATTCTCATGTCTGAGCAGAATTATCTCCAAAACACAGAAGAAAGAGAAATTTTCGGTTATAACCAAGGAAATTCTGTACGCACTTCTAAGTTTGTAAGACATTTTCTTCAATGATCAACAAAGCTTATAATCAGCCTCATCTCATTACAAATGTTTCAAAAATGAAGAGAATCACCCAACAAACTGATGAAGGTTAAATTTCTCACTTCAAGCTTAGGCCTAAAGTTCTTTTTTTGTTTTGAGTCCTATAACAAACTAGATGTGCTCAAATATTCTGCTTTCCATCCTTTATTAACTTTCTCTATAAACTCTTCCACTCTTTTCCTCAGCTCATCATCCTCCTCCTCTCCCTCTTCCACCTCCTCACTGTAGGAATTATCATTATTAACTTCAGTTTCAGTTTTGTCTAGTGCTACTTCTTCCTGGGCATGTGACACTTCTCCAGCTTGTGGGAACAATGTGTTTTTGTTGACTAGGCACTTGGAATTTGCTCCTTGTATATCTGTGTTTGTGGGCATGGAAAGAGGGATTTCACTTTCTTGATCAAAATTGAGCTTGATCTTCAAGTCAACTAGGATAATGATTATGATCAAATTGCAAAAAAAGAAAATGAAAGCAGAACTGGAAGCTGCCTGAGTAATGTACTCCACCACAGAATCTAACATGGTTATGAACAACAAGGAGACAATTACAAACACAAAAAAGGAGGAGGAATGTGAGTTGAGTTAGACACAGATAGATAGCTGTGGTATATGCAGATTGAGAATTTTAAGGCCTATTTAAAGTCCTGTTTGGATTAGATGCAAACGTGGACAGAACCTTCTTTTTGTTGCAAAGTTTAAGGAGCTGATGGTGAAGTGTGGTGTGAAAGCTATCAAAACAGAACAAAATACAATATACTTTTTTTGTAATGGTTGATGTATAAATGTATGTGGAAAGTTTCATTTCATTCAACTATATGTGGGGCTTTTATTTCATTAATTTAAACATAAGTCTATTATACGATAGGAGAACCTCACATGGAACTTTCTTAATTGATGACTCATGTGCACAGAACTCTTATGTCATCCACCACCAAAACTTCTACGTGGCATTTATTTTCTATCTGTAACTCAGACTTTTGTGTAGTGTACATTAGTATTTTAAATAATTATAGGGGATTGCATTTCTCATTTAACATGACACAACAAACTTTTTTATACATACAACATTTTGTGGGACCCACACTCTTTGAAGAAAAAAGAAAATTACGACACGCAAAACGAATCTCTATAACATTACACGATCATTTTTCCTACAACATAACTCTTATAAAACCCATAATTATATCACTGTTTTCTCTTTATGTAATTTCTACAATTCTCACTATTTTTTTTTTTTTTGGGTTTGGTGTTTGTCATTTAAAATGACATAAGTTATATCATTTTAAGAGAGGGATAGACACAGAAAAACAGAAATTATGGGAAAGAAAAAGTGAGTGGTTTTTTTTAATTTAAAATTCAAATTTTCTGTGTCCATATCTCTCTTAAAATGACATATTATTTAAAATGATAAACAATTTTTCCTTTTTTTTTTTTTTTTTTTTTTTTTAACTTTACCATCTCAATTTTATCATCTTGGTGAATCTATTTGCCCAAAACTGAGACAAGCCTGAAGAAATAGTTATAGTTCAAAATTTCAAATTTTTTATATATTTTTCGAAATAAGTATTTGTACGAATCAGCTACGAAATTCAGTGATGAATCCAATTTAAAGTCTCTTAAAAACAAAAAATTAAAGGTGCTGCAGTTTCTTGCTGTTTTCCATGACTATTACATATTTACGGTGAAGTTGTAACTGTTTTAAATATTGATAATTGAAATTTGAAACACCCCCACCAATAATAATAGGGTATCCTCCTTGGTTGACTTTCAATTGCACTATATCCGAGAGAGACAGAACTACTTGCTTTCTAACTTCCATGTTCTAACTATATTATGTTTATAGCTTTGTTTGTTGTTTTTTTGTTTTTTTTTTTTTTAATCTGTTTATAGCTTTGTTACAAGTTAAGAATTATACCAATAAAGTATTTAGCGCCGTTTGGGTGGATTTTTTTTTTTTAAAGTTAATTTTCTATCCCTTGGCGACACATGCTGAGACAGAAGAGAATCTGATTTCAATTGCCACCAAATATATTTTTGGAGAGAGATAAAAACTCGAGATTAGTCTTATTAGGAAGGGGTGAACACTCGGTATTAGTCTCATGACCAATTCAAAAAGTTAAAACTTGATGACTGACTCAAAGGTAATTAGGGTCGGTATAATAAAAAAGTTATTTTTTTTCAAAATTAAAATATTTTTCAGAATTTTTTATAATCATTGTGAGCTTTAATCAATTGTAGTTTTTCTTGTTTTGATAAAAAAACATGTTAAGTCATTATCCACATGGGAGTGTAGTATAAAGCAAATTTAATTAAGCGATCATTGGTTTGAGCTTGGATATTTGTAAACTGATAGTGTAGGTAACAATGTATGTCTAATCTAGAGACTCATGATATGAATGAGACTGGAGTTAATAAGTTTGGCTAAGTCTCCTCTGCATTAGGGGTGCTAAACGAGTCAGGGGTCTTTGGTCCGACTCGTGAAAGCCTAAGCTTACATGTCTAGAATTGATTGTTGGAACCAGGCTTGGACTTGTATAAAAACTCGTTTAATAAAAAGGCCTCAGGCTCCAAAAGCTCGGCCTTAGAGCCTCCCAGACTGGTCTAATATATTTATTTTTATTTTTATTTTATATTTTTATACTACTTGTGATAGCTCTCTCTTCTCAATTCATTTCATCCCATTTTATTAATTAAACAGACTTTTTGAATGATTTTGTTTTATATTATGCTGTTTGGATATACATTAAATTTATGAATATTTATGGAATTACTAGTGTTGTTGATTGTATATTTTGTTTGGATAAATTTTTGTTGTCTTATTTTTTTTAAACAGGCTAAACCAGACTTTTATTTTTTGTAAATAAGACAGGCCACATACTGAAATTATATTCATAATGCTTGGACATGCTGTCACATTTAAACACAGACTTAGCCTTTTAAGACCAAAGCTCGGCTTGGCCCGTTAACACCCTTACTCTGCATTCATAGTGCGTTGAAAAACCGTCACTTTACAACTCACTCCCTTATCGGCAGTTGTGATTAGTGAGTGGTGTAAATTGCAAAAAAAAAGTTCAAGGTTCAGATTTATGTGGTTGATGAAGTTACGAGTTCAATTCTTACCCGGAACCAATTTAAAACCAATAATGAAAATCTTACCCTTCAAACCACTAAAGGGGCGTTTGGTAGGAGAATTTTTTTTTATTAAGGAATCACGATTTCCAAGAATATGATCAAAAAATGAGTTATCTGGTAATGTTACCAAAAAGTTGTTTGATAGACTAATATATTTCTGAAAATATTGGGTTAATTTTCTTGATATTATGTTTGGGTGTATTAAAATTTTCTTTGTCATAGAAATCGTAGAATATCACCCCATTCAATGGTATTTTCAAAAAAAATTACACAGAAAATAAAATTCCGAAAAAATCTGATTCTTTAGTAAAATTTTAAAAATCTCATGAGTAAATAAGATTACACCTTCAATTTTTCAAGAATCTCAAAAAAAAAAACTTGTACCAAACGGTCTTTATGGATTAGGCCTATAATACGGGATGGCTACATATCGGGAAAAAAAAAAAAAAAAAAAAACATATATTCCGTGTGATGTACATGGGTTTGACATATGAACCCTTATAAGGAATTCCTGGGCACACAGTACTACTACCAAGGTATATGAGAAGTTCAGGGGATAACAAGTTCACATTACCAGCTTCAATGGGGAAAGTGAAAGCGATGGTAACACCAACTCAGCAGACTCAGAGGTCTTTTGTCCCATGGGGCAGGCGTTGGAATCCTCCATCATCAATGTCCTTCCGTTTCTATGCTTCCTCTCTTACCCTCTCTACCAAGCCTAACTCCCTATCTCATCATAACGTCCACTCCAAAACTGTAGGTAACAGTACCATAATATAACGTTATCCATTCATGTTTTTTTTTTTTAAAAAAAAAAAAAAAGGAATTGCTTTTTTAATTTTTAAAAAAAGAAAATCATATTAAAAATGAGAACATTTTTTTTTTATATTTAAGGACTGTCCATTTTGCTTCATCTAAGTTGATCTCATTTGCATTTGCAACCTTTTGATATAACTGTTGAGTAAATCATTGTCACTGACATATATCTGCAGAAGAAGCAATGGAGAGTACATCACAGTTGGTACCATTCCCATTATTATTGAATACCAATTACAAAGCTTCTACCATTCCTTGGAGGTTCCCTTCTGATGATCCACACGTCACCACTCCCACCGAGTTATCTTGGATTAATCTCCTACTCAATCTTATACCCTCCTACAAGTATGTTCTCTTTCTTTACTTTGTTTTTTTTTTTTTTCGCCCCCAACAAAACATAAATGGGGTGTGGTTTAAATTTCTTCATTCATCACTTATCTTTATCTTTTTTTTTAAAGAATTTCTAACAAACAAAAAATGGGGTGTGATTCAAATTTCTGCTTTAATAAAAAAATTAAACAATTTAGCATTTTTTTCCCTATAAAAAAATGATTTTTAGTGTGTGGTTCACAATAATTCATATCTTGCTTGCTTACCCTTTTTTGACTGCAATGGCTTATTAGACTCATTCGTTATAAATTTTGAATTTATATATGTATTTTCTGGTAGAGATATATGATAGCCATTTAAAAAAAAACCTTTCTCTATTAACTTAAGTTTTTGGGATAATTGTTCCTTCACCTTCACCTTCAAGTCTAAAGGACCTTTACCGAAAGAACAAAAAGAACCAACGGAGTTTGAATGTTTCTTAACGCAATTTTAAAAGCACAGCATAGTTTTTGCTTCTAATTAGTAATTATTGGTAAGTAGAAGCAACTGGTTAAAAGCAAAATCAATGTAGCCATTACCTGCTTTAGTGAAATATGTGGTTTTTACATCTTTGCAAGGATTCTATTATTTCAACGTTTCTTGTTTTACATTAATCTTTAGCTTTGATTTGGTACAGGAAGCGTGCTGAGAGTGATACTTCTGTTCCTGATGCTGCAAATAAAGCTGAAAAATTTGCTCAAAGGTTGTCTCCTACTGCTTCTCTTTATTTTTTGTCCACTTTGAGAGGCTTGTTGCATGACAGAGACCTATGGTTTTTGATAACAACATCAGCATATTTTTGAAAATTAGAAAGGCATAACGTTTCTTGTGGATCATAGACTTGTCCTGTCTTTATGCTCCTCTTGTTATATTTATGTATATCTTATTTCAAGTAATGCAATTTCTTGTTAATACGAGAGTTTCTGATTGCATTGTTGCATCTTTTGCTGATGCATTTCCTGCAAAAAGGTATGCTGAAATACTTGAAAATTTCAAGAAAGATCCTTCAAGTCAAGGCGGGCCTCCTGATATCCTTGTAAGTTCTTTAGCTGAAGTCATACGAAAATTTATCGCAAAAAAAGAAGGAAATATAACAAAACATTAAATGCAGCAGTTTGGTATATGTCTAATTTCCTCCTTCTGTGTTTTCCTTTATTTCTCTTGTTTTTGTTTGGGGGTGAGGGGTTCTAGTTTCTATGCAAACTTCGTGAGCAAGTCCTTAGAGAACTGGGATTCAGAGATATCTTCAAGAAAGTGAAGGTAACTTAACTGTACAATCTAGTTTTTGTGTGGTAAATGCTGACCATAACATAGGGAAATTTAATGGCATTCTTTTCATAATGTTGTTGGCTAGAGGTCTAAATTTTTATTAGCCAAAGTTGAAGAGATTTAACTAATAGTTTTCAATTTCAATAAGAGAGGGAGTGGTTCGTCTTAAGGATTTGTAATTCTATTTTGCCCAAGATTTGTAATTCCTCTCCAATTGAATGCAACAGGATGAAGAGAATGCAAAGGCTATCTCCCTATTTGAGAATGTTGTTCGTCTTAATGATGCCATTGAAGACGAAGGCAAGCGACTTGAGAATTTAGTTAGAGGAATTTTTGCAGGGAACATATTTGATCTTGGTTCTGCCCAGGTAGGTTGATTTTCTATATGTAATTTTGGTCACTTATGTTGTTATGATAGCGAATAATTGATTTAAGAAATGAACCAAACCTCAGAACAATAACTCCCAAAAACTGTGAATGAGCTCAGTTAAGAAATTCACCGAATTCAATACTCAAGGAAATTATTGCATGGTCTACTATTATGATCAACTTTGATATCTTTTATCTTAGAATTTCTGTTATGCCCCTACTTTGAAAGAATTTGAATCGATTTGTATTTGTCTTTAGAAAACGAGAAGCTGTACTCCTGTTTGGGTACTATCTATGCACATTGTTGTCTAAGCATATAGTTGCCAAGGTCTTGAAGGGCCATGTAAAGGATACTAGGAAAAATAGATCAGGATTGGAAGGAGAGAAATTCCAAGGAAGGATATAAAGGATACCAATGGCACTTGATATATTGACACTTACCATTTATGACATTCTATATTTTTGCATATTGATCAATTTGTGAATTTTGCAGCTATAGAGGTGTTTGTTGCTTGCAATATGCATGTGTACCCAAGAAAGATATATTGTGTATTGTGTCCCCACATTAGTAAGTTAAAGTTATCTTTCCACCCATTGAGAATATTATCTGATAATGTTTTCATCAACCTTAGCTAAACTTTGAGCCCACTCATGGCCACTTTTAGTTTTCAACTGATACATTCAGAGATTGGCGATATGACATGATACCTTGAATCCTCTATTAAACACATGAGCAGTGAGTCATCCAAATAGCATTGACAAACTACACAAGATTAGTTTACCTATCCTCTTGTAGAAACAAAGGTTTAGGGTATAAGAGAGTAATAGACTTCGACGAGAATGGTTAGAACATGGTTTTCAACCCTAAACTTGCGAGCTCTAAACAGATCCATAACTGCAGGATTCATGAATTCGTCAAATTTTGGGAATATAAGTATGTCAAAAAATGGTCAGGGTCAATATGTTAATAAAAGCATCCCGGTCCTCAACTAAGCTAAATGGCGGGTGTGAGTGCTTCTAGATACTTCCTTGGAATTTCTTGGTCCTAATTCTGATCTTTCTTTTCCTTGATGTAAGTCATTTACATGAACTTTGAAGCCTCTAGCAACAATATGATTAGAATGGTAGTGCCTGAAGTAGTGGTACAAATTTTCATCACTAAAGACAAACTCAAGATCCGCTTGAATTTTGTCAAAGTGTGGGCCAGCTAGAAGATTTGAAAGGTGAAGCATCTCAGACGTGGATTATAATATTGGGTTATTGCAGTATTTGCCTCCACTTCTAATATATCCACGATTTTCCCAAACTTTATGGCATAGGTTAGACGTTGCAATTTCTTCGACATCTAGTTCAAAATCTTCAAGTTCTAAGTTTTAGACTTCTTGGCCTTAAGATGTAGTGTCTTTTTCAACATTGATGATGTTGCCTTACTGATATTTGATTCCATATTATCTTCCGTCAATGATACTTATAATCAAGCCTTGAAATTCGACCATTCTCTGACAAACTCTCTTGAGATGATTTTTGACATAGGAAGGAGTGAGTATTAGAAATGATGCAGTTTTTTTTTTATGAGTTTTGAAAAGGTGTAAACAATGTTCGTGCCTAACGTGCATCACTACGCAAAATGCATGGGTAAATAAAAGATGAAATTTCAAAAAATTATGTTTTTAAAAGGATGAGAACTATGTTTATGCATAACAGGTCGAACTATGTAGAATGCAAGAGTGAAAATTAGGAGTAAGAAAGAGATATGCTTTCTGTGAAAATTAGGAGTAAGAAAGAGATATGCTTTCTTTGTGTCCTAAATTAGATTAACTTAAATTGTAGGAATTTTATCCTGAGGGTCAATAGGTCATTCTAACACCTGATAAGTCTCATTTGCTGGTTCCATGATGCTAAGGATTTTGGTATTTAGAGCTAAGATCTCATTGTGGAAAGTTGATCATAACAATAGGTGAATTATTAGATGTGAAACATTCATGAAAGAGTCATAATATAAATAGGTTTTCTCAATAATCAAACACGGTGTACATTCAACATGGCTATCACTGTATAATCTCATTTATCTCAAGTTTCACCCGCAGCCAAATGTAGGGCCGCACTTATAAATGTGTGATAAATGTGTTGTTGTAATATACGGAGAGAGCATACAAACTTTCATACAACCAAAAAAAAAAAAAAAATTGCAAAAAAATGCCTATTAGAACAAAATTGCTTCTCGTTGTGATGCCTTAATGTACACAACCATAGGCTGACAATTTGCATGGGAAACTAGATATAGTTCAAACCTTACCTCAAAGGCTCAAACTGGATTTATTCGCCCACTTGGAGGCACTTGTTGTGTTATTTATTACAATCATATACTAGTTTGGTGGATTATAACTAGTTGTAGTTTATGGTTTACCTTTTTCTTCGCTCAATTTCTTGAAGCTTGCGGAGGTTTTCTCTAAGGATGGAATGTCCTTTTTGGGTACTTGTGAAAATCTTGTCCCTCGACCTTGGGTTATTGATGACCTTGACACTTGCAAAATGAAATGGAGCAAGAAGTCCTGGAAGAAGGCAAGTGTCATATGGCTATATAAGTATACAATTTTATGATGCATTTATGTCTTCTGGCATATTTGTGAAGGGTAGTGTCCTAATCAACTTCTTTATCATGGCAGGTTATCATATTTGTGGATAACTCTGGTGCAGATATCATTTTGGGTATTTTGCCATTTGCAAGGGAGCTCCTTCGGCGTGGGAGTCAGGTTTACAGACATTTTATTTCTCTATCAGGAGGATAGTGGTAGCCTTTTTACTATTTAGCTCAGTAGATCAATGTGTTGAAATACTTGGAATTTATGTTGCATTATAGGGAATTTTGAGGAACTACAGATTTTGTTAATCTATTTTAAGTACTTAAATTAGATCCACTGAACTCTTCTTTTTGGATGAAACGATTTGTTATCAGAACTGCCATGTTTTAGGTATAATTGTATTTGTCCATTTTAAAGTTTTGTTTGAAATTGAAATTGCTTTCAATGTGCCCGTTCTTATAGGTTAGCTGCCTGCTTCAACATATTTTATTTGTTCCTGTTTTGTTTGCAGGTTGTATTGGCTGCTAATGACTTACCTTCCATCAATGATGTGACTTACTCTGAGCTAATTGAAATTATATCAACGGTAACACAAATTAGGTTTGGCAAATTTTTGGTATAACCAAGTTCTCTGCTAACTCTTGTCATGTTGGTTGCCAGTTAAAGGATGAAGAAGGATGTCTCATGGGTGTCAGTACTTCAAATCTGTTAATTGCCAACTCTGGCAATGATTTACCTGTAAGAAAATCAGAAGTATTTTTTTGTTATATTAGGAGATTTCTGGTTTCTATATAGTTTTTGGCCTATATGTCAGACAATTGACTTGTATGATGATTGCATGTTTCTCTCTTGTTTTGTTCAATGGATTCCAGATTATTGATCTTACAAGGGTGTCACAAGAGCTTGCTTACCTTGCCAATGATGCAGATCTTGTCATCTTAGAAGGGATGGTAAGTTCTTCCTTTGACATTGTAATGTTTCTGTTGGGCTAGACAAGTTGCATGCTCCTACATTGTAATGTTTCTTCAGTTCTTGCTCCAATAAGGCCTCTACACTTATCCATTGAGCCTTGTCAGTTATTGGTGCCTCATATACATTAAATACTGACCTATTTCCTTTTGACAGGGTCGTGGAATAGAAACAAATCTCTATGCTCAATTTAAATGTGACTCCCTCAAGATTGCTATGGTAATGCATTTCATCATTTTTTTTCCTTTAACATATGAGAATATGAATTCTGATTATTCTATTCTTATTATTACAGGTGAAACATCCTGAGGTTGCAGAATTTCTTGGGTCACGTCTTTATGATTGTGTTATCAAATACGATTCAGTTTAGAGCTTATAATTATTAATGCTGAATTCTTTACTCTGCTAATACTACATCCGCAATTTGTTAAGGGTTATTATTTCAACCGGATATATCATTTTATGCCTGAAATAATATATACCTTGTAGAATGAAAATTTTCTATTTAAAAAATTGAAACATTTTACTTGTAGAGTATGTTTGGTTTGAGGTTGAAGCGAAGTTTTTAGAGTTAAGTTTTATGAATTTAAATGTTTTTGGCATATGGTTGTTTTATACCTAGGGTGGTATCCAAGTTTGGGTGTTGTAATATTCAATTTCTTTAATGTCAATTAAAATTTATAATTTTCATAAAACAAATTCAGTCTCTTAAATCTTTAAATGTCTTACATTTTTTTATATTAGATGATCCTACAATCCCTTTAGCAATTTAGACTCTGAAAAGTATCAAACTTTTTTTTGGCTCATAAACATTGTCTTAGACCTAAATTGTGTTAATTATCTCAATTTTCACAAACAATATCTAATAGTTAATTGATGATTCTTGAATCTTGATATTGTAGTGATATCAAAAGAAACCTGTGGGAAAATGTGGATTGTGATAGTTAAAATCTTGATTTATCCTTATATTTTTATGATTTTTTTCGTTAAAACATTTTTATGATAGTTATAACTCTTTTACGTTTTAATGATTTTTTGTCCTCTTTTTATTTTTACATAAAATTATATTTTTAACTACCTTGGTGTTAACCGGCAATTTTTTTATTTTTGTTATATAATAGTATATTTTGCTGGCATGCAATGTTGATAAGTTTGGCTATCGTTGAATTAAAGCTACTCTAATTATTACATTTCAATTGAAAAGCCAAATATCCGGACCAAATTAGGAAAGGGGGCTTATTGAATGAGTGTTTGAATTATTTTCTGTACCTTTCTTGTTTATAACAAATAAAAGCCCAATATTTAAAAGATAGATATGTGGTAATATGTATTGTGTAATCATTGACAATAATGATAATTAATGATAGCTATACATAACACGGGAGAGAGAGAGGTCCTGTCTTTTTGGATAGTGGATTTTGGTTAATGTATGCAGGCTCCAAACAAGAGGCTTGAAATAGGGAGTCAATCTTCCCACGTAAAAACTGATCATATTATTTGATTATATTCACTTATTTAAAATTATATATTTTTCTTTCTCTTATCTCATCAATAATAAATAGTTGTAATTAAATAATATGATCACCTAACTATCTTTTCATGTGAAAAAATTCAAATCCGTTGGAATAGGGAGTGGATTCTCTCATGTGAAAAAGTGGTCATATTATTTGATCACAACCACTCATTGATAAAGAAATAAGAGAGAGAAAAGTGTATAATTTTTAAAAGAGTGGTTTGATCACAACTAGGGGTGAAACTGGGCCGGGCCGGCCTACAGTGGCCCACGGCTCGGCCTATATCATGCCATACTTGACCTAGTATAATTTGTATAATAAGCCGAGTTTGGGCCATAGAAAAGCATGTTTAATAAAAAGGTCGTAGGCCCACTCTCAAAAGGTCGGGCCTATAAGCTTACAGGCCGGCCTATATTGTACTATTTATTTTAAATAAAATAAAATAGAATAAGTATGCCTTGAAGAAAAAACAAAAGATATAAATTTAATCAATTGCAATTATTTATAACTTAATTATATTCGATTATATTTTAATAGAAATCTTACTTTATTTCTTATATAGGAGGAATCAACATCTCAACATGTTTGATTGTGTATATAAATATATTAAAAGATTTTTGGGAAATGTTATACTTACTACAAGCATCATGATGTGTATGTTGAATTCATGTAGTTATTTTAATTTACATAGTATGGATTTGTTTGTTGGATCTGATGAAATATATATTATTTAGTTTGAGCATTTTGTTTTTGAAAATGAATTAAATGCATATTGTATGAGTTTTGTTATGATTCATGATTCTGTTTGGACGTTGAAATTATGATTTTTGGTGTAGCAACAGAATTTGAGTACTTTGTAAAGTTGATTCATGGTTCTGCATGGAAGTTAAAAATTAACAGGCTAATGGGTCAAGCCAGACCTTTTATTTTTTATAAACGGGCTAAACCAGGCTAACAGTTAAACTCATACTAGGCTTGGGCCATGCCAAATTGAAATTTTTTTACGTAGGCTTGGGCTTTTCGGGACAAAGCTTGACCCAGCCCAGCTCATTTTCACCCCTAATCACAACCACTCATTGATGATGAGATAAGAGAGAGAAAAATATATAATTTTTATATGAGTGATTGTGATCAAATAACATTGTCACGTGAGAAAATCCATTCAATATGAGTTTAAAGAATATTAAGACTTGAGTGAACTCTAAAGTGCTAACAATCACCACCAAACGCTTGGATATATATTACATTGAGTTATTCTAGTTCAATTAATGGTTTCAAGTTCTTCAAAATGCAACAGTGTTAGAATAGAGTTTTGCAGCCTATATGGTCACTAATCGATAAATAATATATATATATATATATAGGGGCAGGATCCTTTGACACCGGTGTCAAATTTAAAATTTGACACCTCATTTGAGAGTCGTTAGATCAAAAAAGATCAACGACTCTGATTTGTAAGCATGTGACACCATTGATCTTTTTTGATCTAACGACTCTCAGATGAGGTGTCAAACTTTAGATTTGACACTGGTGTCAAAGGATCCTATCTCATATATATATATATATATATATATATATATATATCGAAAAAGTATTTTTACAGCCACTCTAGATAAGATTATCTACAACTACCTTTTTTTAACTAAGTATGATTGGTCATACTTAGTTATAACAATAAAGCTGTTCTTTTTTCTCTTTCCTCAGACACTGTCGGTTGACTTGGCGGAGAGAGAAAATGCAATTTTAATGTATGACCGGTAGGAGTGTTCGCGGTCTGGGTTGGATCGGTTTTGGGAGCAAAAATCATCCGATCCAATCCCTTCGGTTTGATCATGTAATCATCCATTCGGTTTGGATTTTTTTTCAAATCCGATCCGATCCAATCCAATTTTTTTCGGTTTGGATTGGATCGGTTTTCGGTTTTTTGAAATTCCTAAATTTGTTTCATAATTATTGTGCAAATAACATCTTTTGTATATATTGGCTTTGTAAATTTTTTTCTTTTGAAATACAAAAACATTAGTAAACAATAATATATATATAATTTTTTCGGCAATGAGATATGAAGCTCTACACGGATAAAACTTTGTTGATAAGATGTGACTAGGATTTTTCTTGGATTTAGTTGATGGGTTAATGGGTCTTGAGTTTAAAAATTTGTGGAATATGATTGGGGAAAGGCCCAAGTAGGTAGAGGAGAATTAATATATTGGATCGGTTTGGATTGGATCGGTTTTCATCACTCAATCCGAAAACCGATCCAATCCAATTAAAATTTGCGATTTTTTTTCGGTTTCGGTTTTTCGATTTTCGGGTTATTCGGTTATCGGTTTTTCGGTTCGGTTATTGCGGTTTGAATCGGTTTGGTTCGGTTGATGAACACCCCTAATGACCGGTCATACTTAGTTAAAAAGGGCTAACTGTAGACAACCTTATCTAAAGTGGCTGTAGAAATATTTCCCCTATATATATATATATATCACCCAAAATTATGTCATTTTAAATATTTATTTTTCTTATTTAATTGATCAAAAATTGATATTATCATCATTGATTCACCTTTGTATGCAGTGACAGAGCTAATTGGTACCTTGACATTAGCTAATTTTAAAAAATGACATATATTTTCTTTATATTTTTTTAATACATATAGATTTTTTTTTTTCAAATTATGGTATAAGCTTGGCACTGGTTAAGTTTTTAAAAATAATACAATCTTGGCGTTGGCTGGTTCTACCTGGTTGATCTTTTTTCCTGGTTCCACCTGGTTGAGTCTTTTTCCTGGCTCCGCCATTATTTGTATGGTTATGATTTTCTGACTGAACAAATCCTTATGTCAAGTGACTTGAAATTCGATTAACCATATATATGACATCCGATTGATCATATATATATATATATATATATATATCTATAACTGGTTAAGTTTTTAAAAATAATACAATCTTGGCGCTGGCTGGTTCTACCTGGTTGATCTTTTTTCCTGGTTCCACCTGGTTGAGTCTTTTTCCTGGCTCCGCCATTATTTGTATGGTTATGATTTTCTGACTGAACAAATCCTTATGTCAAGTGACTTGAAATTCGATTAACCATATATATGACATCCGATTGATCATATAAATATATATATATATATATATATATATATATATATATATATATATATATATATATATATATATATATGGAGGGATCATTTGACTCAAGAGTAAGACTTAAAAATCTTACTCTTCATCGCAGCCGTTGATTCCGTTCATCTGACGCTTATAATTATATATATATATATATATATATATATATATATATATATATATATATATATATATATATATATATATATATATATATATATATATATATACGAGAAAATATTTTTCACGTTGGAGGAGAATTATTTTCTCTTATTAGTGACTTTCGATTTTCGTGCAACAATTAATTTTATTTATTTATTTATAATAAATGTGGACTCCACACAATATGTGTCTTTGGCATGAGAAAATCCAAACAATATAGATAAAATCATTTCTACAATCGCTTTGCGTACAACAATGACATATGTATGGTTATGATTTCTCACATTTAATGCTTTCATCCTTTGTATGGTTATGATTATCCATATTTAATACTTTCAAGTATATATATGAGAAATATTTGATTATTGCACGTACAACAGTTGCAGAAATATAAACCTCAACCACACACACACACGTATATATGGGAAAAACATTTCTCATATATATAAGTTTATCTCCGGCTACCCCAAAACTACATCGTTTTATTTATTTATTTCTTTATATTAATTGATTCACCTTTGAATGGTTATGATTTCCTTTTTCTCTCTTTTCTTTTATCACCATTGATCCCTCCTTGTACGGTTATGATTTAGTAGCCGAAGATAATATTATCTTAAGCAACTTGAGAAACGATAAGCCCTATATATATATATATCTTATCATTTCTCAAGCTGTCGGAGATAACTTTATCTCCGGCTACTAAATCATAACCGCACAAAGATGGATCAATAGTGAAAAAGGAAGAGAGAGAAAAAGAGAATCATAACCATTCAAAGGTGAATCAATTGATATAAAGAAATAAATAAATAAAGCGACGTAGTTTTGAGGTAACCGAAAATAAACTTATCTCAAACTGCTTCAGAAATATTTTTTCATATATATATATATATAGAGACAGGATCATTTGACACCGGTGTCAAAAAAAAAGTTTGACACCTCATCTGAGAGCCGTTAGATTAAAAAAAATCAACGATTCTGATTTGTAAACATGTGACACCATTGATTTTTTTTAATCTAACGGCTCTCAGATGAGGTGTCAAACTTTTCCTTTAACACCGGTGTCAAATGATCCTGCCTCATATATATATATATATATATATAATAAAAAAAGCGCTAGCACAAATCTGTAAAGACGGTTACTTTTCTTATGTCTTTTAATAATAAACATAGACAAGCTGGTATTTGTAAGCTGCTTCAAACATAATTCAAGTAAAATTATATTTTTTTTATCAACAAATTCTATTAATGGTTTTCGATAACTGTTGCTTTAAGGTAAAGTTATATCCCTTGAGTCTTAATCATCTCTTTTTTATTTTTTAAAATACATTGAAGTTTTTTCAAAAAAATATTATATTATGTTTAAAATTTAAAAACCATATAAAATATAATTCCATAATTAAAATAATTCATAATTTTTTCCAATTTAATTATATCTCTAGAACAAAAAATGTTAAATTGTAATTTAGTATTCTAAACGCTTAATTGTTGAAATATCCTTACCGCAATAGCTTTCTTTCCACAGCCATGTATATTAATAAAGGCAAATACAAATCTCATGTTGTAAGAAACTTTTATTTTAGGGATTGTTTTTCGTCGTATTACATGATACAAGTTACATTATATTATAGAGACAAATTTGGTGAGGTTCACTCTTTAAATAAAAAATGAAAAATAAATTAAACAATGGACCCCACCAACTTTGTCTCTATAACATGATATAATTTGTGTCATGTAACATGATGATCATATTTCCCTTTATTTTATGACTTTAATATTTCTAAAGTGAATGTAGATAAGTTATCTACATTCGCTCTAAAAATGACATCGTTTTGGGTTGAAAAAATTATAATAAAAAGACTATTATAACTCTGAAATAAATTATAATTACAAAAATACCTTGATTTCCGCCTCAAAGCGACGTCATTTTGGGCTCACTGTAGATAAGTTATCTACATTAACCGTAGAAAAAGCGAACCCTTATTTTATATCATAAACCATTCAATAACTGTGTTGTTATTTTTTTTTAATGATGAGTTTTTCATTTTATGTCTTAGCATAAGATATATTTTTTCTTATTACATAAGAGTAAACAAATTTATTAATATATCCCACGAATTTTTCGGACGTTGTTCTACTAAATTGCCTTTTTCTTTACAGTTTAAAGGGGTCATCACTCATCACTAGGGGTGAAAATGGGCTGGGCTGAGCCAAACTTTGCTCCGAAAAGTCCAAGCCTACGCCAAAAAATTTTAATTTGGTCTGGCGCAAGCGTGGTACGAGTCTAACTGTTAGCCTGTCTTGGCCCGTTTATAAAAAAACAAATGGTCTGACCTATCCCGTTAGCCTGTTGATTTTTAACTTCGAAGCATAATCATGAATCAACTTTGTAAAAATACTCAAATTCTGTTGCTAAACCAAAAATCATAATTTCAATCACAACAAAACTTATACAATATGCATTTAAGTCACTTTCAAAAACAAAATGCTCAAACTAAATAACATATATTTCATCAGATCCAACAAACAAATTCATACTATTTAAATTTAAAAACTACATAAATCCAACAAACACATCTTGATGCTTGTAGTAAGTATAACCTCTCCCGAAAATCTTTTAATATATTCATATACATAATCTAACATGTTGAGATCTTTGTTCCTCTACACAAGAGATAAAGTCATATTTCTATTAAAATATAATTGAATATAATTATGTTATAAATAATTGCAATTGATTAAATTTATATCTTTTATTTTTTCTTCAAGGCATACTTATTTTATTTTATTTAAAATAAATAGTATAATATAGGCCGGCCTATAAGCTTATAGGCCAGATCTTATGAAAGTGGGCCTACGGCCTTTTTATTAAACAAGCTTTTTCAAAACCTAAACTCGACCTATTTTACAAAATATACTAGATCAGATCTGACCTGATGTAAGTCAAGCCATAAACCCCTGTAGGCTGGCCCGCCCAGTTTCACCCGTACTCATCACCATGTTATGCAGTATTATTTTGTTTGCCGATTTAAACACGCTTGAGTTAATGCCCCACATATTCTTTTTTTTTTCTTTTCTTTGGTAGACATGGCCCACATATTCTTATTTATAAAAATTTTATTCTCTATATTTTTATTGATTCGTTGCATATACCTAATTATTTTATGGGAAATCAACTTGTCCTGTTACTGTTACTAGAAAGCTACTGTTCTTTCCTGCAAAGACATTGAAAACATGAATTATGATTTTATTTTATTTTTATTTCATTTTTTAGTGAATCTCACCATAATCTTTTATCTACAGGAAATTTAATTATACAGAAAATTTAATTATTTTCCTGTAACATGACAAGTTAATTACCCTTATTTTATAGCTTCAATATCTTTGCAAAACTATAGCATGAATAAGCACTCGATTGGCTTAAGCTTTAATCAACTAACTAATTAATAATTTATCAAAAAAAGCGAAAAAGTAATATATGAAGTTAAAAATAATTTTTTTTTGGATAATATGAAGTTAAAAATAATGAACATGAAAAAGCACCCAATTATCATGGTTGCTTAAATATCTGAGTACATCACTGAATAATTTGCAAAACATCAGCATATGACAATAAAATACCGTCCTCGCATGCATATTACAAGTAAAATAAAAATAATTACAAAGCCGTATTTGTGTAGTGGAAAAAAAATAAAAATACAAAATTGGTTGACTTATAAGTCATTAGTTCTATTCTCCACCAAACAAAAAAGAACACGGCCCCCTCCCTCCTTTAATTCTCAGCATGCCATGCATGATATGATATTGATGCTTCTCTCACTCTAAAACTAAACTCTTGTTCTTTCCATTTACACAATTCTTCAAACACCTTCCATTCGAATATTCTCTGCATGGAACTCTCACGGTGGCGTGTCTGACGCAAAACCACAACCCAATGGCCTCCACCCCTTCCGTCGTCGACGACAGGGCCGTGAACAAGCGTTACGAGGGCCTTCTCACAATGCGCTCCCGAGCCATAAAGGGCAAAGGTGCTTGGTACTGGCCTCACTTCGAACCCATTCTCGTTCCCAACCCTGATTCCGCCCAAGCCAAGTCGGTGAAGCTCAAGTGTTCCCTCTGCGGTTCTATTTTCTCCGCGTCGAACCCTTCACGAACCGCTTCCGAGCACCTTAAGAGAGGGACTTGCACAAATTTCAACCACAACCATTCTTCTTCTTCGCCGTCGCCGACGCCGATTTCCTTTGTGCCGGTGGCCGTGGCTGTGGTTTCGGATTCGAAGAGGAAGAGAAGGTCTTATAATCAAAATCACTCATTGGCAATGGTTGAGCAACTGGGTTACTCTCAGGTGAATCAACAACAACAGCATTTGGTGTTGTCTGGTGGGAAGGAAGATTTGTGTGCTTTGGCTGTTTTTGAAGACTGTGTGAAGAAGCTTAAGAGTCCCAAGAATTCTTCATCAAATCCTGCTTTGACTAAGGAACAGGTTGACTCTGCTGTTGAACTTCTAGCAGATTGGTTCTATGAGTCATGTGGATCTGTGCCTCTCTCCACCCTTGAACACCCCAAGTTTCAAGCCTTTCTTACCCAACTTGGTTTGCCAGCAACAACCTTGAGACGTGAGATATCATGTTGTTCTAGACTTGAGGATAGGTTCCGTGTGGCCAAGGCTGAGTCAGAAGCTAGAATAAGAGATTCACTGTTTTTCCAACTGGGGTGTGATGGTTGGAAGAACAAGGAGTGGTGTTGTGGACGAGGAGATGGTTTGGTGAAGTTCTCAGTGAATCTTCCAAATGGGACTTGTGTGTTCCAAAAGGCTGTGTTTACTGGTGGGGGAGTGCTTTCATCCAAGTATGCAGAGGAGATTTTGTGGGAGATGGTGACTGCAGTTACTGGGAGTGTTGTGCAGAGATGTGTGGGGATTGTTGCAGACAAGTTTAAGGCCAAAGCATTGAGGAACTTGGAGGTGCAGAACCATTGGATGGTGAATATTTCTTGTCAGCTTCAGGGTTTCGTTAGTTTGATCAAGGATTTTAGCAACGGCCTCCCACTTTTCAGGGTTGTGACTGAGAATTGTCTCAAGGTTGCAAATTTTATAAATAATGAATCTCCGGTTAGGAATAGTTTTCTCAGGTACCGGATGCAGGAGCTTGAGTGTGCTGGGTTGGTTCGAGTTCCCTCACCAAAATGTGATGTGGTGAAGAACTTTGCATCTGTTTTTCCAATGATGGAAGACATCCTGAGCTGTGCTGGAGTAATCCAAATGGTCATGTTGGAGGACACATTTAAGATGGCGTGCATGGAGGATCCACTAGCCAGAGAAGTTGCTGGAATCATACAGAATGAGGGATTTTGGAATGAACTGGAGGCAGTTTATTCACTGGTAAAGCTTATCAGAGGAGTGGTTCAGGACATTGAGGCTGAGAGGCCATTGATTGGTCGATGCCTGCCACTTTGGCAGGAGCTGAGAACCAAAGTGAAGGAGTGGTGTGCCAAGTACAATATTGTGGAAGAACCCGTGGAGAAAATACTTGAGAAACGATTCAGAAAAAACTATCATCCTGCATGGTCAGCTGCATTTATACTTGATCCACTTTACTTGATTAAAGACACAAGTGGGAAGTACCTTCCTCCATTCAAGTGCTTAACTGGTGAACAAGCAAAAGATGTAGATAAGTTATTGACGAGGCTATCTTCCCGAGAAGAAGCTCATGTTGTGTTGATGGAGCTCATGAAATGGAGGTCAGAAGGGCTTGATCCACTTTATGCACAGGCCGTACAGATGAAACAACGAGACCCGGTTACAAGGAAGATGAAAGTTGCAAATCCACTGAGCAGTAGACTTGTCTGGGAAACTTGCCTAAGTGAATTTAAATCCCTGGGGAAGATTGCGGTGAGGCTTATTTTTCTGCCTGCAACCTCATGTGGATTTAAGAGTAGTTGCTCTTTCATGAGGATGATTTATGCACATAAATGCTCAAGAAATTCCTTGGAAAGAGCTCAGAAAATGGTGTATATTGCAAATCATGCCAAGCTTGAAAGACTAGACTTTTCAAATGAGGAAGAAAAGGACGCACAACTGATTGGTGACATGGCAGGTAGTGATGATGGCATGCTGGCTGAGGTCTTTGCTGATACACCCCTAGTGTAATGTGCTTCTTTTCAACTCCCATAGAATTCTGTAATTGTAGGATTTATCAGATTTTTTCCAGAACTGTTCTATTATTCCCTTACCTCTACTGAATTTTTTTTTGTGACGTGTGATTGAAACAAAAGGATATTGGGAGGGACCTAAAAAGCATGTTAGTGGCTGTGATATTATCTTTGATTCAAATCAATCATCAGTTTTTTTCCAGCCATTATTTGGATTTCTTAGGTTTGTAAAGGAGGAACCGTAGCTCATTAATTAGCACAAGAACAATTCGGTAAGATGGGTAGAAGAATGCAATAAAACCTCTTGAATAATTTGTAAGGAGAATTGTTTTAAGTCCTATTCTAAAATTAATTCATAATAACTTAAAAAGCTGATCTTGCGAATGAATATATAAAATTGGTCGTAGTGAACTAAGTCATGTTTAGTCACTTCCTCTTGTGTGAAAATTAAGCTCTAATTGTCAGAGAACCGTTGCTCATTAATTAGCACAAGAACAATTCGGTAAGATGGCTAGAAGAATGCAATAAAACCTCTTGAAAAATTTGTAAGGAGAATTGTTTTAAGTCCTATTCTAAAATTAATTCATAATAACTTAAAAAGCTGATCTTGCGAATGAATATATAAAATTGGTCGTAGTGAACTAAGTCATGTTTAGTCATTTCCTCTTGTATTGAAAATTAAGCTCTAATTGTCAGAGAAAGTCACTACTAAGAAATGAATTTAGTCCTATTCCACAACTTGTTCTCCTGTTTCACCTTGCGTAGATCAAATGCTAGACTGGAAACTTTTAAGTGCTGACGGTATCAGTTGAATTACTATCCCACAACCTCAGGAAAACAGTCAGCATCTTTCTGGATTGGTTATTTTCCTTAAATTGCTGTGGATCGTTTTTTAGCTCTTGAAACTGATATGATGTTGATACCAAGCACTGATGCATGATATTTAGAAATTGAAGGCAAACTGAATTTATTGTCAGTGGGAAAAATTAATAGTAGGAAATATTATGGCTGGAGCATTTCTCCCCTTTCTCTACATTAAAGACAATTTTTTTTTTTTTGGGAAGGTCGGGGGGGTAATTAACTTACACATGAAAGTGGAAAAATCATCCTACGATAATCAATTACTTTTGTGTATGCATCTTATTGATAATTCATGTCTTGATACGACATTACACCATGCTTGGTCTAGACTCTGCTTGTCATGCTCAATTGTGTGAGTAGAACAAGATGAAATATCTTACTGTTTGACCAGCTGTTGTCCATCACATCCAAAGACCTTAGTATTCAAGCATAGTTCCAAGCTCAGTTGAACATAGGACAAAAAATGGGTCTAACTGCTTCATGTAGAAGTTTGAGGTACTCGCAGTTTCTTTAGCAAAATAGAGTTTTATTTGTGTTTCTTAAGTTCTAAACCACTTGAACATCGACGATGCACTTGTTGGACTTACCCCAACTCTTTTGCTTCACAAGAAGGGCATACATCAGCACTTATTCTTATTTTGTTCTAACAACAAAGAATTAAGAGAATTATCAAGTTCTTACCATCAGATGAAACATTGTGCATTGAGTCAATCAGTTGTCTTTGAAACTCATAAAGTTGCTGATAATTTCACAAGTCAACAAATATTAAGAACAACAATGCTACTGCAAACAAGTGAGCCAGTAACTAAGCATAAATTCACTTTCAAGAAATTTTAAACTTGCAAGTTACAAGTACAAGAATTTGTGAACAATATTGATATTCCTTAGTCTCTCTCTTTCAGAGAAGACCACTGTTGTATATGATTGCCTTTCCTTTTGTGAAGTGGAAACTTATTGTAGGCCAGTTTTTGGCCTCACTTTTTAAAGTTAATTTAAGTTTTGGATTCTTCTGTTTCCAACAGTTCACTACATTCTCACATTACCCTCCCCTTCTAATTTATTTTATACTCCTGAAAGGAAAAACATAGCTGCAGATATATCTATCGGAATTCACCAAACGTCAACATCACTTTAATCCCAAACTAGATAGGAATTCACCCAAAAAAAATGTCTATCGGAATAATCCTAGTAATTTTTCATCATAACGAGAGATTATAATGATTCTGTTATATCAATTTGAAAGATAAAATGGGAACACTGTTTATCCAGAATTTTTTATTGAAATGCTCTTAAAACCACATTGATCAAGAAATCTGTTGAAATTTATAATATTTATATGTCCTTAAGAAAACACATCTCAAAGAATATGGTTTACTCATGCCACTATATGCTCTGGTTAGATAAAGTTTTCATGTAGAAGGAAACTACTAAAGTAGCAGGCTACTAAAATTTGAATGTTATTTTTTGCTGCATAATTGGAATTGCTTGGAGCAGGCTCCCAAAATTTGAATGTTACTTTTTGCTGCAGAGTTGGAAATGCTTGAAGCAGTAGGGTGGGTGGTAAACCAGAATTGGTCATGACGTGGGTCAACCTCGGAAGAACATGAGAAAGAATCTTTGTTGCCGAAGAAGCACTTCTTATAAATAATCTGGCATATCTACTGATGTGTTTGTTTCTGAGAAATGGTTAGACCCATCTGGGGGAAGTGGCTGTCCATGTCACTGCTTTGGTTGTCATGGTCAAAGAAAAGTGAGGTATGAGTGGCCTTCCTTTACGTCATTGCACTTTATGTGTATGTTTATTGTTGTTTTGGCTTAGCTAATGTCCCACAACCTTAGGTAACTTCCGTTACAAAAACATTTTTTATGATAATATACTTATTAATGGGACCTGATGTAAACTGTTTACCTTAACGTTGAAAATTGTAGGTTTGCCGAATTAATCGTTTGCTTGCCATGATTGCTAAAAAGTCTTGGGGAAAGTTGAAGCATGGAGTGTAGGGAAAGATAAACAAAGGGAAAGCAAGTAGGCCTGCCGGCATGAGGAGATACACGATATGGCTGAGGGGATAATATTGCAATATGCTACATCATAGAGCTTTTTTTGCATATACGTTTAGGGGATTATTTTTAACCATGAACAGCAGGTTGACATCTCATATCATTTTCCCCTCTTGTCATAGTCATATCATATGCACATGACTCCCTTTTTGGTGTCATACTTATGCAAGCTTCAGAAATTGATGTAAGTGTATTCTGACATTCTATCAACTTAATGCATGCATCCTCCACTCTACTTGTCAATAATTAAATAAATTCTTCACCATAATGTGGATGGAACTTTGTTTGCCTCTCCATGTGTGTGCAAATAGGACTTTTGAATCTTCGTGTGCGATGCAACATTTAAATCCATGAAATAAAGAAATAGGCTGTTAACAATTTCCAATAGTACCCAGGCAATCTATTGCCTATGAAATATTATCTTCTCCCAACGTTTCAGATTGTTTTTTAAAGTTAATCTAAAAGCCCGTATTTATCTGAACTGTCACATGTCACAGTTTTTAAGGTATAGGTTAGAGCATGTTAAAATTTCTTCTTATTACGGGTTTAAGTGTCTTAACTCACCTCTAGGCCAGAAATTATGAAAGTTTCTCTGCCTCCTTAAATCACTGGCAAAATGTTAAATAAGGATGTGAATGAAAAAGTTTCGTGGGCTGATTGAGCTCATTAATAGAATAAAACGCTGCATTTCTGATTTCATAATTGATTTATCTTGGTAATCAATTTGGTGTTGTGACAGTGGATCATGTCGGCAAGGGCAAACATTTCTGACTGTCTACCAACTAGTAGGTATGTGTGTTTCTTTTTTTTTCCCTTAATTTTTCCTTTGCTTGTATGGTATAATTTCATTTTCCGTTCCATCCTGGTTCTTGTATACGAGAGCAGAATGTGATGATTGACATAGGACAAGTCCATCTTTTTACAAGAATCTTCATACTTTCATGCTCCCTCATGATTAATCTTCTTTTTAATGTCTTTTTCTTTTCTTAACACAATCCTTCTTGTTGCATAATAGGATATGGTGCTAAGCTAGCTACTTTTTTATGGAGAGGATCAAAGTTCAAATTCTGTAAACGATAATTATTGGAAGGGCTTCTTAAGAGGAGTTAATTTCACAACAATGCTTATGACAATATCCTGGTCAAAGAAAACAAAAAAAACATGTATGTTAGATAATTTCACTAGTATGGTGTAGAATTTTTTTTTTGGATAGCATAGTATGGTGTAGTATTTTGACATCTAAACACTTGGTTTTTTTATTATTATTGCTCTTAATTAATAAAGTAACAAAGAACTTTTTCCTTATCATGTTTCTGGTGGTTATGGAAGTGATCATGAAAAGGTAAGTACGGGAGGAGTTTTCAACACCCACAAGAGATTCAAAAAATAGTGCTCTGCTGCCTCGGGTTATGTGATTAGTGTGTTATTTTCGATCATACTCTGCAGGAGCTGTTCTACAGATGCAAAAGTTATACTTTATTATTAAAGTGTTGACCTTAATCTTAAAGGAATATTTTGGTGCCGATTTTAGACCCAGTTGATAATTCCCTACTGTCTTTTTTATTACAATCGGCTAACTAACCAAGTAAACTTTGAACCTATGGTAGTATTTTGGTAGATTAGAAATTGTAGTGTGTTATGATGGCAAATGATTACATTGAGTCAAATTCATCTCCTCACAAATATTTGGACAGTAGGTTTTTCTTGTCGTATCAACCAATCCTAGGCCCCCTTTCCTCTGAAATGTGTTATTCAAGGTAGAGTTAAATGAATGGGTTTTATAAAAGTTATAGTGTAAAAAAAGTGATTGTGTTATGTTATAGAAATTCGTTTTTCGTGCTGTAATTTATTTTTTTTTCTTTCAAAAAATGTGGGCCCCACAATATGTTGTGTGTGTAGAAAAAATTTTGTGATCATGTTGCATGATGAATACAAACCCCTAAATGAATTGCTTGAAATATTTTACCCCAATACATTTCATGGAAAAGCTTTTGCCATTTATCTTTCGTTTGCTAGATTTTAAATTATAAATTATTGCATGCTTTTTATTTAGACATTTTTACAAACTTCATTGCACTACAAACCAATTGGAATGTTTCCTTTTATCTTTATCATGCTTTAATCTATTGGCACTGTTTGTAAAGTTCTTCTGATAACAATCAAATTTTCAAAAAAATACAAAATAAAAAATCCCAATAGTAAAGATTAAAATATAGCATTCAAATGCTTAATTATTTAGACATGATCATGTTGTGCTTTTATATAGGAGAATAAAGGAGGAGTCTTATTTTATTTTTTTATTTTTATTTTGATCTTAATTATTTCAGTTAATGTGAGTTTGTATAAAAGTAGGTTGAATTTGTTTTATGGAAAGCTACTTTCTAAATCAATTTCACGATTCTGAAGCTCATAGTAAATGTCAATCGAGGATATTTTAATTATATATGACTTTTGTTTCTGGTCTGATTATCTGGTTTCAAAGATGGAAAAAGTGTGTGTCATTTTAAATGATGTAAAGTTGTGTCATTTTAGGAAAGAGAAAGAAATAGATAAAGGAAGAAAGAGAGTTGACAAAAAAATAAAGGTGTGGGTCTAACCTCTTTGTGAGAGTGAAATGACATAACTTGTGTCATTTAAAAGGATAAACATTTTTCCCTTCAAAGATATAGCATCAATTTCATATAGTGAGGAACACAGACACATGATATCATCATACAAAGGTTTAGTGGGGAGGGTCTATCTTCTAATTTATTGCTGACATACTGTGATCAGGTCCTACTAGTATTACTCAAAACTCCTCTAATTATAATTCAGTTACTAATTCCTCATCTCCTAATCTTCCTTTCTTGTCTGGCTTAAGCTTGTAACATCCCGGACGTTGACAAGGGCGAGCAGTGATCGCCGGTGCGAAAGGGCATGGATAAGGAGCGGCTCCTGTCAGGCTTCCAGCGACGGGGGTACATGAATGAATCGAGTCAACACTCGAAAGAGAGGGATTCCAGAGACTGTGCTGGTATGGGACGGTACAGTTGGGAATAGCTTATAAGAATTAATTTGTACTACCTATACTAACAAGATGCATCTACTTTTTGGTAGCCCGGAACGGAAGAACTCCATAGTTAAGCGTGCTTGACTTGGGACAATTCTGGGATGAGTGACCTCCTGGGAAGTTTTCTCGAGAAATGTGCGAGTGAGGACAAAGCACGCTGAAAAATTTCGTGTTAATGTGTGGGGACAGTCGTTGATCCTTGCAAGTTGCCAGACGTTGAAAGCTAATGGTCCATCTGCATGAAAATTTCATATAATTATAGATGAAGAAGAACTATAGCTTGTCAAGTTAGACACTAACTGCAATTGTTGTTTTACTGCAAAAACTTTAAGTACACAGCATTATGTGCCATTTCTATCACATGGTGTGTAACTTTTGCAGTTCCATTCCACTTAATGCGTGACCCTGCAAAATTGTCAAGACAAATTCTCCCTGATGAGATTTCTTTCTTTTCTCATTCTGTTTCTCCCACCAATCAATGGCATAATTGGCTCTTGTATAAGTGGCCCCAATTTAATCAGAAAAAAAGAATAAAAGGAAATAATTGTGGTACTATACTATTATTAGTTCATTAAACATAGACCCTCAAATTTTACTTTGATTAAACGAGAGGACTAGTCCTACCATTACATAAAGAGAGTGACATATATGATATCAGCAATCAACGAGATTTTTAATAATCAATTGGATTATACAAACTTGGGAAAGGGATCAACCAATAATCACCCCCACTTGAAAACTTACTATACCCTCAATCTGAATGCAATGGATGGAGTTATTATAACGACATCTCATTCCAAGATTATTCTGTGTTTCTAAAAAAAAATTCTTGTTGCCTAAACAATCCAATTAAGGTTCAAGCTCAAAGATAATTCAGTTTACCATAAAAAGAGAAAAATAAATGGATATAACAACGAGAAGGAGAATTCCATGTTCATAATGAAGTTATGTCGTTTAAACTAATTAGAACTTAACTCTCAGAAGAAAGAACAAAGTAATGCAGTTATCATATCTCCATTATACCTTACCTATAATAAAGCTTGTCGCTTATGATCATTAAAAAGTTTAAATTACTTATCTAACTTTATTTCCATAATTAAATCCAAACTTCTAATTGTAGAAAAGCTGTATGATTAAAAACGGAGAGGAAATCACGGATCTTGTTTTTGGTTCAAAAAAGACATGTTGTTGATACCCCTGAGGACCCACTTAAAGTTCAAAAAAGACATTAAAGGTTTTAAAAAATAACAACTTTGCATCATAAAAGTATATTGCGACATTATTTCCAAAAAAAAAAAAAAAAAAAAAAGTATATTGCGACAAAATGATGTATAATTTACGACAAGATTTCATAAGCAACGTTACCATTTTAAAACCTTGATGTAACAATATTTCCTAAGCTTTGTTGCAATAGCAGAACATTTTGTTGCTTTATTGGAGCAAGTTTGAAGATACTCTGAAAGAGAAACATAACACTAAAAAACAAAGAGATGAAAAAATTCATTACCTATGACTAAATATAACATAGAACACATACAATACATAGGATAAGAAGAAAAATAAAATAGAGAATTAGGCCCATTAATATTTGCTCTAAGTTTTTGTTTTCAGATTCTTTCATCAAGAAGAAAAATTATACGAAAATGAAAATTAATGAAGAAGTTGATTTATGAAAGTATATATTTTTTGTCTTGTTTTATTGTATTTTAGAAGGAACATTTTTTTTACACAATAATAACATTGATGTAGAAGCAAATTATCAAAGTTTTTCACCGTTAGCCTATTCTTAGTGACTTGTGAAGGAACAATTATTGTATAGTTCATTGTGTTCTTAATTGAAGCTATTAAGGTTGATTAGATAGAACTCAAAGAATTCAGATATATTAATACTCTAAAGCTATCTCTCCG